GCTACTGATGCTACTGATGCTACTGATGCTACTGATGCTACTGATGCTACTGATGCTACTGATGCTACTGATGCTACTGATGCTACTGATGCTACTGATGCTACTGATGCTACTGATGCTACTGATGTACCATGTACTGATGTTACAGACGCTACAGCTACTACTACTACTACTACTACTACTGCTATCGCTGCTACTGCCGCTAAATTTATTGAATATAAATTTGTATGTAGATAATTAGACTGTTTGGGATTTAGTTGCTCTTAGTTCGGGAAATATTAATATTAATAGCTTTGAAGCTTCTCTACTCAAAGCGCCGCGGTTGGAACTGGTTGCCTTTACGAAATCGGAGTGGCGTACTTCGCCCGAGCATTGCAGCTCGTGCTTTCCCGCCTCACCTGTGTTATTTAGATATAGCGGGGGCGTTGGACAATAGAATTGAGGTGCTGGATAATCTCTGCTAAGATGCTTCTAAACCTATCTTGAGTCCCATGAAATGCCTTGTAAAGATAACTTCTTTGTAACAATGGGACTAATTTTACATCTTTGAGGTTACAAAGACGTCGCATACCTCCTCCGTGTCGACTCGGACGCTGGCGGTAGTAGTAGGGACTCTGCTCAGCCACCCTCACTTCATACTATTGCCTCTCTTCCATCTTGGCATCAGCCTTACTTCAACCGTATCCCTGCTGAATCCTTTTTCTTCGGATGTACGTCTCCAAATCGGGCACACTATTAAAACCAGGGTCGCCGAAGTAGCAACTCTACTAGTATCGCTTGGAGGCCTATTCAAAACGCATCTCGTATTCAAGCCACTTAGATGGAATGACCAACCCTAGGGCTAGCCTTTCCTAGGAGCTCTAAGTACCTACGTTGAATGTTACTTTAACCGGTAAGGAAACGCCAAAAGACAAGTAAGGCGAAAGAAAAGTGGCTCGATCGCTTTGAACCATGGACGGACCGGGATCAGAGCTGATACCAGAGATTGCCAAGCAGGGCGATGCCAAGAGATCTATGGGATGATGAACATGTGCAAATATGTTTACCTACAATATGAAGAGATTCTCAAGGAGCAAAGCTCATGTGTTGGTATCAATTGATCACTGACTTGCGGTCCTGATGGTTCTGTGCCTCTATCTTGGCCGGCAACTCTCTCACTTTGGTATCTCCCACTCTTTGTAGGGCTTATTTTAAGCCCAGCTTCATAGATGTAATACGCGTCGTGAATTGGCCTCGAGGTCGCCGTTCATCATGCATGTCAGCGGAGATACGGCAATTCGAGTAATGTATACCCGTAAAAGGAACAGCACTAATGCAGCCGAAGTTGCGATTTCAGCCTTTGCTTAGTGGACTATTCGGGAAACGTCCTCTCCACGTCTACTCCGACTATTGTAAGAATATGTGCGATGGGCAATTCAAGACGTGTTGTCATTGGAAGAAGTGTCGCTGCTACGTCGCTTGTATGCGGGAGGACGGATTATTTTCCGCTTATGACTTTTGCCATTAGACTTTTTGTCCATTCTCATTCTCTCATTTCTTTCATCCTTCTGACTTGTTTTGCGTATTTCAACCAATAGGGAGCTTATTTTAGCCGAAATCTGACGTAGAACCCGTGCCGTGAGAAGCGTAGGATTAGAATAGACTTAATTACTATCTTTGACGACAGCCCGCAAATCACATGTAGTAGACAGTGCCGACGAACCGCTGGACCCCTCATTCTACGAGGCCGTTGAAAGAGCCGCTGAAAGATTCGCATAGTTTTCAGGTAAATGCAATTTTATGCTTGTGATGTACTTGAAAGAAAAGGACTTGATGATCAATAGAAAAAGTGTTATTATACGAACAATTCTAGGTCGCAGACAGCTTCATGTTTGACTCAAAATCATTCGCTGAACTAAAGGCATGGTATTCAACGGGCTCCATATGACGGCTTCACGCGCCGCCTGTATTTACATCCCAGTGCATGAGAATCCTTCGCAAATCTACGGGATGCCTCCATGTTCCAGACTACATTCATATGCGATATTCGACGATCCTTCGCTGCCTCCTTGGTCCAACTAGCGTACAGAATTGATGCACTCAGTTATTTCTCCCTTGGCGGAGAAGGCAAATGCCACTTGGAAGGGAAAAGCATAGATTGATCGAGATAAATCCCGAAAGCTACTAGAGGGTTTCATGTATAAGTATACCATGATATCTCCCCCAGAAATGATAGTCTTCCATCGCCTGTTCCACATTCAAGGCTCTTCTTTACCTCTTGGCTAATTCCCATTTTCTCTATTTTGCCATTGGCTATTAGGTAAGAGCTCCCTGGCTACGATGATAAACTGTTTCTGACCATTTATAAACCAGCCCAAAGCAACCGCAAGTTTAAAAAGCCATCATGACGTTCATCTCCCTCCGTACCCTGAGCGCTATTGCTGCTACCACCCTTATCGCTGGCGTTATTGGCGACACGACGCTAGGTGGTGTGAATATGCAGGCTTGCTGCCAGGAGCAATACTCCAACGGTTCAGAGCAAGCAATCGCTGGCTCCGGCTGCGATGATTGGCAATGCTACAATCCAACCAATGGAAACTGGGACGGGGGGATTGATATCAGCCGATGCTGCCAACAGACGTACTCCAATGGCGGCGCCTATTCCGGTTGTAGCGGCGGCGCCTACAACTGGCAGTGCTATGCCCCATGATCGTGCTTTTGCCTGATTGCGACATCGTTTGGCTTGAACTGGATGGCAGACAGAGTTGGATATGAGCGACAAGATAAGCGAAGAGGATGCATTGGAGGGACAAAACGAGTCGATAGTTCTAGCAGGTTGGAAATGTAAACGATCTTTATAACTCTTATTTTTGATGTAGACGATTCTCGATTCCTGTTATTTCCTGTTGTTTGCACATTAGTGGCCTATTTAAGCATGAATTTGGAATGGGAATGCTGAAGGGATGCTGAGGCACTCGCCCTATTGGCGAGAGCATACTGGAGAAAGCCACTTTGTTCACGAATCTGACGAATGTGTGATAGCTATGCTCGACACACTGTGTCAATCAATAGGATGTGGTAGACACGTCTTGGATTGCCAGACTCCCATGATCGAGGCTGTCGCCCTCCAACTCTGGTCATCGTTGTTATCTTTTTCGCGAACGTTATTTGGTGGTGAATAAGACTCCATAACTACTGAGACGTCAGCATTAGCTTGTATAAGTAGACTGATCAGCGCATACAACCGTACCTCGCTACAGTCAGTGGGCAAAGGAGCAGTGCGAGTTTCACGTACGCCTCTAAAGCAAGATGACCTATGATATAACTGACGTCGTCAATGGCAGCCACGATTTTCGTGCCTTGGGATTAGGTCGACAATGGCGCGCGATTCTCGATCGAGGGTGGAGGCGATACGAAGTTGACCTTTTTCGTTTTGAGCTTTCGAAATCGCCAAATGCGGCTTCGAGAGAAAGAAGGACAAAGATAGAGGCAATTGCAGAAGAGAAAAGAAATGAGGCAAGGGGGGGATTAATGGTGATGGTAGGTAGTCGGTATCAGATTTCATCGACGGCTCTCACAGTGGCAACCGATGAGGCGATCCGAACACGAAGAAGATGAGAGGTGAAAAGACTATTGAGATGGAAGGTTTTACATAGTTACACAAGATTGAGACTTGTTTGGCGACGCGTGGGAGCTATTTTTTGGGTAGGTGAGAAGAGCTTCACCAGGCTGCTGCGTGCCGGCCGGCATTAAACCAGACTTACAATTTCCGAAATGCCTCATCATCACCATAACGGCTAAAATACCTACTGATCCTTATCACGAGCTGCTAACTCTACCTGGGAAAGTGTCAGTATTGAAGAGGACAATGGATATATGAAATGATAAATTGACAAAAGATAGGGTGCGCTGTTATTGCTTGGCAGTGTGGCACGGTCCTGGTACGGACACACGGACCGCTTCTTCCGCTGGGCTGGATAAGTACTAGGTATGATGAAGACTGCAAATCCACGCAGATGGAAATAGGCACCTGATCAGTAACAAGGCTGGCTGCTGTTATTCCTATCCGGCGGCAAGCTATGGATTAATTGTAGCATTTCTATTGTCCCTGATGAGGAGGTTAAGCCTGGCCTAGCGTGGTTGGCCTGAAAGCAATAGACGGCATCGAGCTCCTGGCTATGGGTGATAGCCTATGTACGACGGTTGTCAATGGATTTGCCTGATATTAATGCACTCGGAGCGGCCTCATTGTGCTTCTCGGCCAGTGATGAATCTCGGATTCGAGGAAGAATGACGTCGCCTGGGTATGCCATTGTTCGAACGGTAGCTTTCAATACTACAAACACGGCTGATGTTAGAATTGTCACCAGAGATGCCTCGATACATGTTCGCATACTCACAGTATTGACGGGGTTTAGATAGAACTGGACTGTGTCCCATCCTTTGGTCGTAAATGTCGATAGAATTGTTGGTGCTGGAGATCGTGCCTATGAAGATCGAGTTCGCTTGTCGGATCGACCTGTGGCCACGGAGAATCTTTTCCTGTCGTCGATGTTGGTCTTCCAACTTGCGCTGGTCTTGCTTCAGGAGTTTTGTATCCTTTTCAATGTCGTGACTTGTGTGATGGTTGCTGAGGTTAGACTTGGTGGACGATGGCTGCTCTAATGAGCGCATGCGGTTACCTTTGCAGAAAGCTTCACTGTCGAAGAGCTCCCCCAAAAGATGTTGAGCTATAGGAACGAAATAACGATTTGGCATGTCAGAACAAAAAGGTGACAGTACCCGTAGCAATGCAGCAACTCTGTAGCTTTCTGTGGCCGGCTATACGCCTGGCGTCATAATAAACTGACAGCTGGTATTCGTCTGGACTCGCACCTGTCAAGCTGGCACCAGCTGGCAGTTTGGAAGTGAGAATTCAGTGAGGTCAAAGACGCGTCGCGTTGCCAGCTGGGCGTGTCAGGTCTGCACGCATAGGGTGGTTCCAAATTTCCCGCCATTGTTTTGATTTCTCTTTCTTCTTCAGCTTCATTCGTTCCGACTAGCAGGTTCCCTTGGCCGACATTCTTTTGAGGATTCTGTCTAATGGGGAGACATACATTTCTCTACAACAACAACAACAATAGCAACAGCAACAGCCGCAACATCAGCAAAGAGTGGAGGAGCTGGAGCAGGTTGTTGCGGCTCTGCAGCACAAGCTGCGGTTGGTTCGCCACCAGATGGATCTTCTGATCCGACAGCAGCAGTAGCAGTAGCAAGACGATGAGGAGGAGAGAAGAAGGAGGAGTAATGAGAAGGTTACAAGCTCTTTGGGTAGCATGATGAACATTATAGGCAAATCCATCCACATGGACAGATTCTATGGACTAATAGCTCATTTATGCCATCAAAATCATTGCCATCAAAACCATTGCCAAAGATCCGCCAGACTTCCAAATGGCGCCCCTATTCTCGATCTCAGTGCTTAATTGAACATGTCTCTGCTATCGACCGTGAGGAGGTTCCTGCTGATTCGGATGCTCCGCGGGAGCATTGTGTCGTCTGTATCGCCCATGCAATGGCTCTAATCGCAGTTGCGATCACTATAGCATCGCTACTGTTAGCTTTGAGTAGGTTGTCTCTGGAGTCGCATCGATACGCGCACACTCACGGTCTGCATGGTCATCGAAACACCACGAAGAAGTGCGAGTCATCGCTCCGGGACCGGCAAGATCATGTCATCAATTGCTGTTACCGCCTCCACACACGTATACTCGGTCATGGCTTCAACAACGGCTGTCCTAAATCTTCCCTGGGGAATTAGGGATGGGGTCATCCCAGGGGTTACTTGCTGGAGGCATATCATCACCATTTTCTGCCAAACGGACCAGAAATCAGCTGTCTTTGAAGTGAGTGCTGCTCAAACCTCGGGGCTGAGGAATGTATCAATTCAGTCAATGCACTGTGAATGCCGTCTGTCGTAGCTGGTACCGCGTTTCAATTGGCAATTGGATGTTGGGCATTCTCAGCTGTCACGCGTCTTACTGAGTACTAGTTGATGGGTTGCCGGTACAATCGCGCCTTGTTGATCGCCATCATCATCTTCTGATGGCGCTTTGCCATTTTTGTATTGCTACAAGAAACTTGAAGCAAGGGTGACAAACCTACAGCCATTGAGCTTGAACTCCAACCCTTGTGTCGGTGCGAAACCCGTTGGTAGTTTGTATAGTCATGACCTCGATGGTCATAGCTGTGGCCTATGGCTTTGCAGGGTCGCTTAATGCCAGTTTTGACGAAACTTGCAATGTGTTGGATTCAACGAGTAATGCCGTCCAGTCCACTTGTCCATTTCACATTGAGCCGCTTAGAGCGTGGACGAGACTCACCTCGACTGTGTGAAAGAAGAATGAAGTCCTGGTAGAAGTAGCATCAGTAGCATCAGTAGCAGTAATAGCAATAATAGCATCAGTAGTAAAAGTAGCAATAGCATTAGTAGCTGAAGTAGCTGAAGTAGGAGTAGCCTACACATACATGTATTTAAGTTGTAATAAAATTGGCATTTATACAAAGAGTAATTTATCGTCTTCTCTTATTTCTCCTCTCCTCCCCCCTGCTTCTTCTCCTGCTCCCCTTTCTGTTCAACAGAAAACGAAAAAACAAACGACTCCTTATTTTTGAGGCTTCTCGGTACCCTTCTTGGCCTTGCTCTTCTGGAAGACCACCACCTCCCCATCCGCCCATGTCTCTTCGTCTTCTTCGTCCTCTTCCGATGCCCCCAAAGCCCCCGTTCTTCCCATCTGGTTGGAGGAATCCTCGTCTACCTCCCGGGTCTGGCGCTCTTTCACAAAAGCCAATCACAGCTCCGCAGCCTCCGGCATGTCCCACTATAATTATGTCAATATCACGACTGCTTACTGCCAGCCGCTATTCCATTGAGAATCGCAGGTCTACAGGGGAGGGAGGGAAAGAAAAGGTAGCTTGACTCAGACAAAGTGATTTGAACGAATCGTCTTGAGCTCGTTCAACTAGGCTGACTAAGATCAAAATCGGGGTTTCACTCGAAAAAGGTGACCTCGAACAATATTGGCCACCTCGATCAAACCGGCTATTCCAACTTCGTACATACCAATACTGAAAGCACAAGGGGGAAACGACTACATTCTCCTAGTAACTCCATATTATGCTTGCATTGTCCCATGCGATGCAGATCTTTCTGGTGTATTTAAGAGCTGCGTGTATTTTTGTAGATGTTTTTAGGCGAAGCTATACCTTATGTTACTGCATCACATAGACGAGTTTACCGCGGGAGAAAAAACAGGCAGCCGGCAGATGTTCTATTCAAATAAAAAATGATCAAAGCAAAGAAAATTTTATTAAAACAAGGAAAAAAAAAATTGGTAAAAAAGAAACACAAAAATACAACAGCCCCCTACTCCTTCTTCTCCTCCGCCTTCTTCTCCTCCGCCTTCTTCTCCTCCGCCTTCTTCTCCTCCGCCCTCCACCTCCATCTCCAAGTCCATGGCCTCACCGGCCCACACTCCTCCCCACCGGCCACCTCGGCCTCCCCACCCGGAGCCTCACCGGCCCGCGTCCGCACCCGCGCCAAGTCTTGCTGCAGAGCAGCAATGGTGCTCTCGTACTCCTCCCGCTCCCCATCCCTCATCTGCTGCTGCTGCTCCTGCTCCAGCCGAGCCCTCTCCTGGTACTCCTGCTGGAGTACCTCGGCCCGCCACTGGAACTCCTCCTGCAGGGAGGCAAACTTGGGCTACTGCTGTTGATACTGCTCTCATCAACCTGACCTTCCAACTGGTCCAAATCTGGGGTAGCATTGCTTTCGTCACGACGGTGTCAATGAGACCGGAGCCTCCACGACGAGGACGACGACGACGACCACCACAACCGCCAAGACGGCCTCTTTTGAGTCGTGAGCTTGAGGCAACGATGATTCTCTCCATCACCTCTCGCTTCGTTGCTTCCATCTCAGCTGCTACTGTTGCTGCTGTTGTAGTCACACCCGCTCTTAATTCTTCTGTTGGAGTTCCTGGGCCCGCCGGTCGTGCTCCTCCCGCGACGAAGCAAAGTGGTGCGGCTAGTATTGAGGTTGCTTGTTCAGTTTCACGAAAGCGGAGATTATCAACGAAACCAGAAAGCAAAGAGAACAACCTCAATACCGGCGGCATTATAAGCGCAAAGGGACCCGGCAAAGGCGGCTGAACTGGAAAATGTGATGATGATGATGATGATGATGATGATGATGATGATGATGAAGAAGAAGAACTAAACGAGAGACGAGCTGAGGAGCAGAAGATTGCGATTGGGGGTATTGCGCTTCTCGCGATGAGAGCGACAAGAGTGATGAGGTTGGCTGGGTAATTGGTTGCTCCTCTCACGAGACTGACGAACGAGGTTGATTGTCAAACAGAGCAAAGCCCTGCTAGGGATTTTCGACGCGGTTCAGGAGATGTGCTCGGATATCCCCCCTCGCCCCATTCATCGTCAGAATCGGGGACCACGGGTTCAGGTTATCGGGCCTTGCCTCTTCAGAATGATCTTCAGAATTAGAAACCCCAGTCTGTAGCTTCTCTGACTTCTCTTTGAAGAGAGGAAGAGAGAGAAGAAGCTAGACACGGAGTTGCTTATTGTGTCTGCTGTTCTCCTGGGCACGGCATGATCCATCGTGTCTCTCTTGTTAATGCTCCTGGTGCCATTGTGCCGGATTTGCTTGACACGGAATGATCCCTCGTGTCCGTTATACCCATGCTTCGGGTAACCGGCCTTGCCATCGCGCCGGATTTTCTCGACGCGGGATGGCCCCTCGTGCCCGTATTGGCCATACTTCTGGTCACACACCTCGCCGTCGTGACTTTCCGAGGTCAGAATGTTCAAGGTCGGTCCGGAGATGGTCTGCAGCGGGACTCGGCGTCCTACGCCATCTGCCTCTTGTGCGAAGTTGGCATTTCGGTTTCGTCACAGGATTTGATCGTCTGTGAAGAATTGTTAGCCGAGTCCGAATCAATTGGAGCAAAAACCTCAGAAGTGCGTTTCTGAGCAGGCATCTTGATCGTCTAGGAATATTCCTGCCCGAAAGTCGTTGGGGAAGGGGAGGGGAGGGGAGGGAAGTGAGATGAGATGGGAGGGAATGGGAGGAATTGGGAAGGAAAAGAGAGGGAAATCGTGATAACGATCGAATTGGAACTTCAGTATACTGCAATAAAGAGACTTGGTGCTGGTTTTCTCGTCAGCGGGGGTTGTTTGTATACTCGAACAACCATGAACTCTCTGGGAGTGGAAAAAAAGAAGACGAGATACGCGACTGTCGATGTTGTTTTGCTAAGTTTTGGATGCGGAGGCAGGTGACTGCAAGTCTTGAGCTTGAGGAGCGGTCAATAAGTGCACCTTCCACCATCTTTTGTTTTTTGACCGACTGTATCTGTACGTGCCTTCCCACTCAGGTAGGCAGGTGCATGTACATACTGACAAGATCGATACAGCAAGACGACGAGGAAAGCACTGACGAATCATGTCAGAACACGGGAGAACATCGTCGACTCTGCAACTTGAGATGCCGCATTAAAGACAGCGCGGTAGAAATCCAGAGAGAGGTGTAACATAGACCCGAGAATAATGTCAGCTTCCATGGTACAGCGATATCGCTCTGCAGCCACGTGTTGTCGCGAGACGCGTTTGTTGTGCCCACCACACCAGCACACTCAATAGAGGCGTCTTTTTCTCTCTCTCTATTTTCTGGACAGTCTTCAACGAGGCATTGTGCAGCTTTTGGGTTACCGACAAGTGCGGCAAAGAAGACATTGGCGCCGACTCAGAGAGTCCAATTGTAGCAACAATTTGATATACCAATTGCAAACACAGAAGCACGGAGTGACTTGAATGTCATCTTTAGACATAAAGATTTGGCACGATTACAAAGTGCAAATACAAAGCTACTGGCACATCTGGCGTGGCAATGTCAGCGTCTGCCTCTGAGACTAATGGTTGTAGGCTCGATTTGACCAGCGTCGTGAATGGAAATAATCATCAACTTTCTTTCTGTCTTGCTTGTAGGAAGTTATAGTTATAGCTCTTCTTACTAACAGTTGGCGTGTGGCTTTATAGTGAAGGGGAAAATTCTTGGGCCTGTAACTCACTGTCAGGAGAGCATCAGCACGTTTATCATTTACATTGTATGCTGTCAACATTCGATTTGTAGCACAGTTTCGCAGCGGCGGGTTAGTGTGAGAGGGAGTGCAGCAGGCAGGTCTTCACTTTGGAATAAAAATGCTCAAAGAAAGAAAGATTTCTTCGTCTTCTTCGTCGTCATCATCATCATCGTCGTCGTCATCGTCGTCGTCGTCATCTTCTTCTTCTTCTTCTTCCCCGTCTCTCTCACCACCACCACGGATTCTCCTCCTCTCCCTCCTCCTCCTTCACCGCCTCCTCCTCCTTCACCTCCTCCTCTCCCTCCTCCTTCCCCTCCTCCCGCTGCTGCTGCTCTTCCCGTGGCGGGACGACATCCTCCACCAAAGGCAAGCCCAGGAGTTCGGCTGCCTCTGCCTCCCTCCTGGTCAAGGTGCCGTCTCTACCCCGGCCAATATGGCCGGGGGTCCTAAAGACGCCCGCGCGAAACCGCCTCCGAATAGGAAGGGTCTCACCAGCCTGACCTTCCAACCGGTCCAAAGCTGGGACGACATTGCTGCCGTCACGAGGGTTGCCAATGGGGCCGGAGCCTCCACGACCACCACCACGACCACCACCACCACGATCACCACCACCACGGCCGCTACCACCACGAACATTCCCGCCCGCCTGGCCACCTCCTCGGCCACGGCCACGGCCACGGCCACGTCCACGTCCCCGCTCTAAACAATATTAGCAAAGATGTGATAGAAAGCACGGAAAGAGACTGAGGCTTACTCGTCACTCCGCGGCCACTGCCGCCACCACCACAACCGCCATGCCGGCCTAATTGAGTTGTGAGCTTTGAGACAAGAATTGTCGCCGAGGAGAGAATATTACCATTGCCGCGACCGCGGCCCCCACGTCCACCACCGCCACCGCCAGCACCACTCCCAGCCACACCGCTCGCTCGGAGAACCGATTCCGTCGCCTGCAATAGGCGAATTGCACGATCACTCGACATCTATCTTCTTAGTCAGCTAATGTAATGTAAATAATCTGGGCCAAAGAGAGATACTTACGGTTGAGAGAGAGGGAGAGAGTCGAGGAGAATCTAGACAGTAAAGTCAGATAGTGTAAACCAGGCCAAGGGAAGATACTTACGGTCTCGGAGAGAAAAAGAGAGAGAGAGTGGGAGAAAATCTGAGTAGTAGTGGGTTAGATATGATACACTACACTGAAGGGAGATACTGACGACAACGGCTCAAAAAGCCGGAAAATGATTCGAATATTTCTATTCATAGTTAGACACCAGGCATCTCTGAAGCGTCAGTTGGAAGAAGTACTTACGGAGAGCGGCACAAGGCCCGAATGTAGAAAGTAACGAATACTATTCAACAGTTAGATAGCCACTTCAGTAGCAGCCGAGAGAATACTCACAAATCGGCCTTGGGCCCACGAATATGGTTGGATTCTATCAAAGATTGACAAGGTCAGAATGGTGGCACATGGCGAGGAAGCAAATACTTACCGAAACGACGAAAAAACGTCGAAAAAAAGTTATGGACTATGTATACACGTTAGAACCACCAAATGAGACATTCCTAGGAATATCTCTGAAACGTCAGGTGGGAAGAAGTACTCACGGAAAACGGCACAAGGCCCGGACAAGTAGAATTGTAGAATTTCTATCTCACAGTTAGACATCTGTTGGTCAGGTAAGGGTAGGCAGGGGACTACTTACGAAACGACAACGGCAAAAGCCGGCAGATGATTCGAACGGAATTCTGTTGAAGTCTGATGTCAGTGCAAGCACGGCGATGACCAAGGAGATACTAACGGAGAAACGACGTAAAAACGTCAAAAGAATTGGAGAAATCTACATGTACGTTAGGATCACCCAAATGAGGCATTCGTAGGAGAAAAGCAATAGTCGCGGGGGTACTTGCTGTCGGGAGCGTCAATCACGGTGAAGTTGGAGAAAGGAAGAGAAGAGAAAACAAAACACTGACGGGAAATTTGGAAATCTACATATGCAGGCCTGACACGCTCAGCTGGCAACGCGACGCGCTTTTCCTTTCACTCGCTTCTCACTTTCATTGCCAGCTGGTGCCAACCTGACAGGTACGAGGCCTGGCGCGTGTGCAGCTGCCAGTCTTTCACTGAGGTGCCAGACGTACAACCAGCTGCAGGCTGTTATAGAATTGGATATATTTTCTGAATAAAAGTCTCTGCAATCAGCTTCGAGTTGCAAGTTTTAACACTGGTTCACTGTCTTGATATGTCAAATGGTTGTATCATTTTCTGGCTCAGTATCTTCTACACCACCTTCTTGACGGTGGAAGTTATTTCACAAGGTAACCAATCATCACAGCAGCCGTCATCCATCGAAGCCGAGCAAGTCCTCCGAAAACAAAATATGCTCAAGTTGGAAGACTAGCACCGACGCCAGAAAGGAATTCCAAAACCACATAGACACGATCCAAACCCCCTTGCAAACCAACAAGTTGCTCCGACAAGCGAATCCCACTTCGGTGGACACAATCTCCAGCACCAACAACCGTAACGACATGTACGATCAAATAATGGAACAACTAGCAGCACGGAGCATGGCATCGGGGGACCAGACAAGAGTCTGAACGGAGGACGGCCGTCAAAACGACTGGAAAAAGGGGGAGAGGGGCGACATAGTCCAGTTCTATCTAATGGCTGTCAAATCCGTAAGTATGTGCACATGTATCAAGGCAGCTCTAGTGACAATGCTAACATTAGCCGTGTTTAGCGTGTTTAAAGCGTCTGTTCGAAACATTGTATACCACGGCGCACGGAGGACATTCTTCATCAGATCTAGGATTTATCACCGGCTGCAGAGCATAATGGGACAGCTTCAAGTCTCGTCATATTAAGCAAAACTCGGTCACAGCCTTCGCGAAACCGTGCCGCGGAGGTAACATTGATCGCCTCGATCATGGCCCCGTTACGCTTGACGGCGTTGACTGCAAGAACACCGTTGGCGGTGCAGCATTCACCTGCATTTCACGAAACGACTCAACAGTGTCTCTCGTCGTCGGCGCCATAAAAGAAGCGATGTGGCAAGTTAAATAGGCCATCGCTTCCAGATGAATCGCTTTGCTAAGCTTACTGTTCCAAATCAAGGCCCGGAAGTCTCATCCTTCTGACGTTGATACATGTCAATTAAACTCCAGAAGCAAAACATGCTCAAGTTGGAAGACCAACCCCGACGCCAGATAGGAATTACAGAGCCAATTAGACACTGTCCGAACCCATATCTTATCATATCTTATATGGAAGATCCTTTACAGTACCATTGATCTCCGAAGATAGTCGGTCATTATTACAGTTGTTGTCTAGTTGGGCTCCATTTAATTCTCGTCCATATTGTAAGCATGTGCACATATATCGAGGCAGCTCTGGTGACAATTCTAACATCAAGCGTGTTCAGGTTGAAAGTTATGTACCGTTCAAATCATACTAGGCAACATGGACGAGACTTTTTTTTTTCGGAACAAAGAAGCGTCCAAAACCGCACACAGCTTGATCACCGGCTGGGAAACACGACGGGGCCGCTCCAGGACTCCTGATAGTGTAGAAACACATTCTCAGCCTCACAGAAGAGTGCTGGGAGGCCACTTCAATGACCCTGATTATAGCACTGTCAGTCTTGGATGCACTGACCGTCCAAAAACCGCTGGCAACCCAGCATTCATCTTCGCCTCACAAGAGGAACGAGTGAATTTTCTCATCATTGACGCTGTAGAAGAAGCTATGTGGCAAATCAAGTAGCCCATCGCCTGGGAAGACATCGCTTTTCCTACCGCCATGTTCCCAATTCCGAATACTGAGTAGAAGTCTCATCCTTCCATCGTTGGCACATGTGGCATCGCTGCCGACAATCAACCCGTCCTCCGCATGCTCGGCGTCATGATGCCCAAACACACCAAGCACGAACAACTCCCTAGCCATCAGCACAGTGGTACAAAGGTTAGTAGGCACATTAGTCTGTCTTCACATTCGTTCTCGAAACTGATTCTATGAACCAGGAACGGATCAACATTGACAGTACGCATTACACGACAAACCGAACGAGTATCCAAGGCCAGCACTATGAACCACGAGGCACGAACATTGTCGGAAGATATGCAGCACAAGAATCACATCATAAGTCGGATGATATACTTTGGCCATGGATAATGTCTGTCATCCTTGACCCGTTACACTTGCGCGTACCAACATTGCCAATCTCGATAATTCAACTTTGCTCCTTTGGCCAGTCGTTGTCTCTGAGATCGAGCCAAGGTCTACAACAGAGCTCTCCTGTCAAACAGATAGGATTAAAGGTAGGAGCGCATCATCTTTCATACTAATCGTCAACCTAGTATTTACTAATGGTTGCCATCACCCAGACTTTGCATTTGTACCTTCATCACTATGTCAACTTTACACACCGAGAGGCGCCGAAGCTGAGCGAATGGTTTTTCAAGTACATGCATACAGACGCAGCGCATACCACAATACAAATTTCAACATTTTGATCACGTACCGAGTGACTCAAGTCCTCTTTACCTCGCCAGGTTGTAGTTGGCAACTTGTGTATGAAGACTTTTCAAGAAGAAAAGCTGTTGTTAGACCTTGACATTTTCTGTCATGTAATACCGCGAGCTATTACCTTGTGCAAGTCGCGCCCCAACACCACTCAAAGCTGAGAGCTGCTTCACCAACTCCTCCACCTCCTCCCGCTCCAGATCTCGCTGCTGATGCTCGTCATTGAAAGCTACCAAGTCCTTTAAACGCGCGATGAGGGACACTTTTCTTGCGGTACTTGAGAGCTTCGTCGTTTCATTCCATCTCGAGCCACTCGGCATTTTGGCGGTCCAGGTCGACCTGCTCCCGAAGCGCCTCCTGTCGATACTTGGCACTATTAAGCTGCCCCTTTGCGTTTTGCTCCGATTGCTGGAGGGCGTGCGCTCGCGGGCGAGTTCGGCGTTTTGCTGGCGCCGCTTAGTGAGTTTGTCGGTCAAAGTCTGGTCGCGTTTGTTACTGGATTCGAAGATGCTAAGATTTGTTCGGTTTAAAGATTGACAGCCTCAATTTTGTCGTCGAGGGCCTTGACTTCGGCATCGTTGTCGGGGTACTTGGCCCTCAAGCTCTGCGGATCGTTCTTCAAAGATTGTTGTCTGGTTTCTAAAGCACGCACGACTGCCCCCTATCGATACTTGGCGCTGTTCAGCTGCCTGCATAACGCGGATTGCCTGCTCCCCTGGTTTGACAGCTGTCTTCTTAGCCAGTTAATGTGGTGTTACGAAACTGGATAAGATGGAGATGCTTACAGTCGGCACAGAGAGAAAGACAGAATATAAAAGAGAGAGAGAGAGAGAGAGAGAGAGGTGTGCGTGTGTGCGATTCTTGTCCTTCTTCTTCTCTTGTTCTTCTTCTTCTCTAGACAGTATCAGTAAAGATTGGTAGACAACAAGGCAAAAGAACAGCACAGCCGCTGTCGGCGATTGTCGGTTCCCATACATTTTCACAAAGGCAAGTTCATTGTGGGAGACAGAAAGAAGCGCAGCCAGCAAATCGTCAATTCACAATAAATTGATAAAAACAATTCTTTTGTCTTCTTCCTCTGCTTCTTCTTCTTCTTGCCCTTCACCACCGCTCACCACCACCACCTCTGCTGCGCTTGCTGCTGCTGCTGCTGCTGTTGGACCAAAAGGCCCAAAAGCCGCACTGGAGCAGCCACCAGCTCCTCCCGCTGCTGTTGATGCTGATGCTGATGCTGGCGCCGGCCGCCACCACGGCCCCGCTCTAACACGACGTCAGCAAAGATCCGATAGATAACAAAATGGCCGAGACTTTACTGGCCACCCGGCCACGGCCACCGCTACCACAGCCTCCCAAACGGCCTGCTAGTCGTAAGCTTTGAAACGGGAGTCATCACAGATGAGAAAACGTGACGTTTCCGCGGCCCCTACGACCGCCGCCACCACCACCAGGCAAAAATGGCCCGGCCACGGGCACAAATTGGGAGAAGTCTGTTGGAAGGATAACCCCAATGGTGTGGGAGGAACGGTCGACCTAGTGGTTGGGGAAGAGATGAGAATAGGTCGAGACGTTTTGGGGGAGGCTCGGATCATGAAATACTCTCCGCCAGCGGAAGAAGCAAGAAGCAAGAAGCGGCACCAGCAGTAGTAGGGGGTAGCGGCAATAGCAGTAGTAGCAGTAGTAGCAGTAGTAGCAGTAGTAGCAGTAGTAGCAGTAGTAGCAGTAGTAGCAGTAGTATCAGCAGTATCAGCAGTATCAGTAGTATCAGTAGTATCAGTAATATCAGTAGTATCAGTAATATCAGTAGTATCAGTAGTATCAGTAGTATCAGTAGTATCAGTAGTATCAGTAGTATCAGTAGTATCAGTAGTATCAGTAGTATCAGTAGTATCAGTAGTAGCAGCTACCTAGCGGCTACCTGTTGGTTCTGGACTGCGAGGGAGATATGCTTCTCGCGACGAGAGTGGCAAGAGTAGTGACATTGGCTAGGTAACTGATTGCTCCTTTATAAGGCTGACGACGCGGCTGATTGTCGAACAGAATAAAGTCCTGTAGGGGATTCTCAACGGGGTTTAGGGAGAGGTGCTTAGAGACTATCGGCAGGGCGAAAGCGTGTCTGCTTAAAGAGTAATGTATTAGAAGAAGTACACCAATAGACAGAATTCAAGTATACTTACCGGATAAAGGGGAAACGGCCAAAGGCCCGCACTCGTTGGATTGGTATCTGTGTTGTAGTTTGAGACCAAGTCATTACAAAACGAATAAAGAGCGGAATATTTACCACAGCGCGGCGAAAGCCAGCGTGCACAAACAGGAGAATTCTACCAAAGTTAGACAATCAGTACAGACGAGGGTAACAAGGGAGATACGGACGGTAAAAACAACGAAAAATCAGCATGCCTAAACGATGATGAGTCAGAAGGGAGAAGCAAGAAGAAGAATTCCTATGAGGAATTCGCGAAGGGTACGTACGCGCCGTGAGCGTCAAGAACGGCGACGCTCAACTGTGGCAGTGGTTGGAGAAGAAAGAGATTGCAGAAGAAGAAAAAGATGGGCCGAGATGTCTTGGGGGAGACTCGTAGCATTAGTACTCTTTGCTAGCAGTAGAAGCAAGAAGCAAGAGGCAGTAGCAGCAGTAGCAGCAGTAGCAATACTGATTGTATTGTGATGTTAGTAGAAGACTATTAACATGTATCTGCCTACACTAATGTGCCCAGTAGATACATGTTCATCCCTACCGTCAGCTCGCTCCTGCCGCCTGCTCATTCTTCCACGCGCTGCATATCTGCCTTGAATCTGTCGGCGGCTGCGCCATGTTTCGAATGCGATGGATGCCATGTCCCTCGTCAAAGGCGCCGATCGGAGCTCGTGTTGGTGGGATATGTGGCAGAGACCGAGTGTGCTTTCTCGGTGTGAACGGTAGAGAGTTAAGACGGGCAATCAGAGGTGATTTCATCGAGCTGGTGTTGCCTGCACTCTAATACAACAACAGTGTCTGTGAAAAAGAGAAGAGTTGCGTGCTTAGGTAGAGAAAGAGTTCTTCTCGAAGACGCTGCGTACACTCAGTCCCCCACCGCATGGCAGCTGTAACTTGCTCCATGCTGCACCTGTCGCCGTCAAGTCTCCAGCTGCCAATCATTGGCCCGTCCGCAGCTTCAAGTTTTTGCAGCAAGGACATGCGTGTAACCATCCACCCATTTCACTGCCTGTCTGTAGCTGGTGCCTTTCCTGTTCCCTTTTACACGGAGGTACCTATTCCTTGAAATGAACTTCAATCTCGAATTGCAATTAGCCATGATCCAATCCAAGGGTGGCTTTGCAGTCTGGCAATAAGTCTGCATTCCCAGACATCACTAGATGCTATTCCTCATTGCAAATGTGATACGGCATGGGACGAGTATACTATACAAGCGGCACAGCCTCCACAACTCTCGTTTGACTTCACTGCGACCATCTTCAACGCCCGATCGCACAGCGCTTGATGAGCCGATTGCACTCCCCTGATGGACATCAATTTCACTTCCGGTCTGGTGGTCTAGTGGTATGATTCTCGCTTAGGGAAAACCCCAAGTCGTTCTGCGAGAGGTCCCGGGTTCAATCCCCGGCCAGACCCGTTCTTCAAGAATCTTTCTTGAGAATTTTCTATTTTTGGACGCGCGAGCAGCTACCCGCTTGCCTTCTGGACTGTCTGGTTCTGTAAGTCGATGTGGTGAAGCCATTGGTTGCGATCTCTCTTTTTTTTTTCGGCTTACGGCTTGGCCGAGGTGTATCACAGAGTCAACATCGCAATCTATATAGGTGGTACCTATGCGTGAAATAGCCAAGCTTCACAGCAATTGAAGCTGAAATCTTTGAACCCAGACTTCGAAATGCCTATTCATGTATAAAGAAAGAATCGCGAACGGTGCCGATTATGGTAAGCTATGGACTGTCTATAGAATGTTGCGGTTTTTGGTATTGTGCCGGCGCATACCTTTTACCGGATAGTGGCGCATCTAGCAAACTGTTCGAGCTGGATTCGTCTCCTACCTAGCTAAACACCATTAGCAAATCATGTACACATATCCCTGTCACGACCGTTTGAAGCATGCCACGATACGAGGATGAAGAGCCAATTTTTAGACCATCATCTATTAATACATGTCTGGCCTTTCACATGGAATTGAGCGATGAATCCAGTATCTGATGCTACCCATGAGCAATGAGTAGGCAGTTTCTTACTCGGCAGCCTCTAGAAAGCACCAAGGACAGTCCTCAATCCGACGCATTACATACCTTGACTAATACAACAGTTGGCAGCAGTATCATGTTTCTGTCTTTTGCTCCAATAACTACGAAGATGCCGAGATTCGTTTGTGATCTTCCAACAGATTTTGTGCACGGGCCATCGTGTTCAATTCACGTTCTGCCGCCGTTTGCTGTTTTATCCTGTGCAACTTGATTCATCTTCTTGCTCGTCGACTGTGTTTCTCCTTTAGCTGTAATCCTACCTACACAAGGTTGATGCAAAACCCCCAACGCTCTCCAAAAAGGTAAAGTCTGGCCATGGATTCAATGTGACGTGCTCCTTACAGAAATACTGGCCAACTGATCCATTGCATACAGGGCGAACCAGCAATTCTTGTTCAAACATGGCGTTCCGACGACTACCCGTTTCGACTTGCGTAATAGAAGTAGAACGTAAGTTTCACTCTCTCGCAGTCCGTGAGCTGACTCAACATGGCGGACTTCCTCATTTCAAGAATCTATGGAAACTTCCTGACCAGATAATTCGCGACTCTTATTACGACAAGTCCAACATTCTCTCTTCGGCCGGGGTATGGATAAGAAACAGGGACGGAGAGTGGCAGGCAAAAATAAAAAAAGGGGGGGATTTCAACAACTCGAGATTCGAGGAGCTCAGCAGCATTGGCGATATCGCGGCATTCGTTAAACGAGCTACTGGCATCGATGGGAGGGAAACCATAAACTTTGGCCTGCAGCCCACCGCTACTTTTTCCACCACACGCGAAACCTGGGTAGCGGATGACGAGTTCCATGTTGTCCTCGACACAATGGATTTTGGTCACCAGGTCGGCGAAATCGAGCTGCAGAAGACTTTGGCTGGCGAGAATGGGGGTGCACCAACCGAGCGGCAAAAGCAACAAGAGATGCAAATCATGGACGGCCGGATTGTCGCTTTCATGAAGATGTACGCATGGGCGTTTTCTCCCGGTGAGCCAAAAGGAAAACTGACGGCTTACTTTGAACGATTGAGGTCTCGGGTGTAGGTGGGCAATAGATTGGGCCGCAAGAGTAGGCAAGCATTTTCCAGCCTGCAGAGCATATATTTCAAATGCTTAGCATTCAACTAACCATCCATCTTCATACAGCTAGACAGCAAGGCCACCCACGAGATTGACGACCAGATGCCAGGAGAATGAGGGTCGTTGGGCCCTATTCAGGGAAGCCTATAACTACTACAACGCCCCCCAAAGTCCATCAACAACAAGCACAACGGGCAGGCGAATTCACCATGGGGATGGAAAGAGTAGCCGGTAGTTATAGAAAGGAGGGAATTATAGAGGACAATCATTTCGCCTTCTCCATATAGAGTGGGCTCCTGGGGCTACTGCTACGACTGCTACGAGCCAGCCATCAGCTATGTCAGAACAAGTGCCAATTTGCCAGCATCAGATTACGGACAAGTTTGCTGCTTTTGGAAGAGGAGTTCCAGGTGCAGCGCCTAATCGTGCTTATATTCTCCAACTCTGATAGTCTGATGTGCGGCTAGGGGCTATCTGCATAACTACTACCTCTATGGTCCCGTATGCTTTGTGTCATTGTGCCTACTGCATGTGAAGGTGCCCGCCGCTAAATGCCAACGTCCTCGTCGGGCTTTGTTCCGCTATCCGCCAATGCAATCAAAGATTGTCCCAGATGTCTCATCGTCGCGTCGTATTGTATTAGTGCCGCTTTCAGTGCGTCCACTTCCTCCTTCAGAGCCATGTTGGCGGCGTCGTGGCTTTTGTGGATGCTCGCCGTGTGTTCCTTGTGATTTCGGATGGCCTGCGTTTGCGGTGATTGTTTTGAATTTTGGGTGATTGTTTTGAATTTTACCACGCTTGCCTCCAGCACCTTGATTCTCTTGCGCAGTGTCGTGATTTCGGTTTGTAGTTCCGCGGTTGCGGTTCCCGTGCCACAGATTGATGGGTTGTTGTCCCTGCGCGCCGAAGGCTGGTGCCAAGTTGTGTGGCGTTTGGACTGGCGATGCCGCGGTTTCGCAGCTTGCATCGTGCGTGCTTCCCGAGCTCGGGGTGTTTTCTGCCACGTTGGGCTGGGTGGTCGGGGTTTGGGTGTTTGCCATGCCAACTACAATGCCTTCCATGCTATTCTGAAGTGAGTGCTGGTGTTGCGGTGCCTCGGGAGCTGTCGCCTGTGGGCTGCTGCCTGTGCCTGGATCCGTTGTGGCTGTCTTTGCTTTTTTGACTTCTCTTTGGCGTTCAACCTGAGCTTTATGCTTCTCAGTTTTGAGCTCATCAGCAACTGGCAGTTCCATGTCTCGTGGGGCTGGTGTGTATTCTCCTGATGTCTTGTCGTTGATGATGGAGTCTGTTACTGTGATTGTGAAGTTGGTAAGTTTAAAAAGTGCTGGGTATCTGATGCCCCGTGATGTGAAATATGTGTGCTTTATGGTATCAAGTTGCTATTGGGGCTGTTAATGCTTGTGTGCCAGCTGGCAGGGCTGCAGTGCCGTCTGTATACACTGGCAGTTGTTTATACTTCTTTTTATACCCGTGATGGAGGAGTTCCGCTGCTCTTAGTCCCAGGTGGTGATAATTGCGCGTCGCTGTGGGAGTTTGAGGCGGTGAGAGATAATTGCGTCTAGAAAGGGCGAAGCGGTTGGCCAAAAAGGTCGCATTGTTTGCCTGTCTCTCGCTACATGTACTCAAGGTACTAAGACACCAGAGTTAGGCGTTCCCAATATCTCCAGAAGATTGACGCAATGAGCTATTGCGCCGCTCCCCATGGCCTTCAAATCCTTGCCGGAGGCGATCTGCCGTGACAACGTGGGAGAGACTATCGCGCATCTTTCTGTTCACGGCACTAAGAATGTGTGGACTGATACTGCCGCTGACCGACAACGCCTCGACAAGTTCGTACACTCGAGCAGAATGTAGACTTGTGGCCACGACATTCAATAGCATCGGCAGCCAGCCAAGCCGCAATTCACAGGTCGCAGAAATCTCTCCTCTCACTATCTTTGCTTTACTTGCCGCGGTGCTGTTGCTGTTGCTGTGGCTGTTGCTGCTCTTGTTACAGCCGAGCCCGCTTCACAAACTCCTGTTGGAGTGAGCACCGCTCCTCCTCCTGCTGCTGTTGCTCCTCCTCCACCAGGCGCCTGTAGCCCTCCTCCAACGCAGAAACCGCCGACGGCTGCTGCTGTTGTTGTTGCGGCTGTTGTGGCGGGACGTATTCTTCCACAAGCAAGCCGAGCGCGGTACCCTTCCCTGACAAGCCAAAAAGACAACTGACGGCCTATTTATTGTAAGCGACGCCGGCGATGGAATATGTGAATGACTAATATCCGAGTATGAGATGTAGCAGAGAATATATTGGGCCTACAACTCAAATAATGCAGGAGATTCTTCTCCATGTCGGAATGTAAAACTAGCGGGTTGGTAGAAGCAGCTGTTGAGCAACGGCCCAACGCCTTCCGCGATACCGCTGCCGTCGCCACTCATTACTGCGGGTATGACTTCAAATGCACGAAGATGGGCAATCTCAGGATGCTAGCTGACATTAGACAAATGAACTTGGAAGTAATAGGTCACACTTACGACAGATCGCCAAGGAAGGCCAGACAGATAGATAACCCCGGCAATCCATTCTGGTCCCAGGTGTGTGAAGACGTCCACAGGGATCAGGCCACCATAGCTCGCTCCTAGTGGTCATCATATTAGAACATCCGGCTTCAGCTAATGCGACTTTGCGGAGAGACGACGTACCAGCCTGCCAAAACGACCTGTTTTGCCCCAAACGTCTTGCAAACAGCTTCAAAGTCTTCCGCGTTACGTTTTGAAGAGTACCCTTTTTTTTCCAGTGGCTTCTCTGATCGGCCTTGCCCTCGAGGCTCATATGTAATCTACCACTGTCAGATAAATGATGGTATACATGTCAGAGCATGGATGCATACCAGACAATACTTATCCAAGAGTCCTGCATCTTCGAATTGTTTTCGAAATGTTAGGCTTGAGCTTGAAAAGCCGGGAACGAATACAATGACCGGAGCGTCTGCTGCTGAAATGTCCCGCCGAGGCTGCCCAGATGAGAGCGCCATCGGCGGAGGAAATTGTGGGCTTTCTACTCTGGAAAGTGTAAGACATTGCAAGGTGAGATGTTACTGGTGTATTCATGTGCGAATGACTAATCTATTGATAGATCTTATATAACTCGGGCTTAAATACATCGACTAAAGTAGATGAGCTCCGCCGTTCAGTGGACGGTGTAATCAGCGCCGAGGTCTTGATTAACATCTGTATAGACCGTACAAGTGTCAAGAGCGTGCAATTATATTCCAAATGGTTCTCAAGCATTACATACTCCAATGAAGTCATATGTTGGCGAGATTAACGCTGCCGCTGCTCCTTCACGCTTCAACTTGGTCATTCCAGAATCCCGAATGATAACAGGCTTTATATCGTAGAAACTTTCCTATAATGGCCTGGTCTTCAGTTTGTGCCACTTTCTGTATACAATTGTCGGCAACTGATATGCAGTCTAGCGTGCTTTCAATCCTTTCAGGTCAACCTGGTATGCATGAGTCGGTGAATAACTGCGGGTATACGTAGAGCGTTCTAGCCACAAAAAGAAAGTTTCTGCGACATATATAGTACAATAGTACAAGCGTATCGCTTTTGTAGACGCAACACGTACATTATCTGTCTTGGTGCGTGTATAGTATTGTCATTCAACCTTGTAGTTACTGTTAGCATCGCTGAGGATATTGGATTGCAAATGGCAAGGCTGTGTCGATTGTTGACAGCAAATCACATGGATGGTTGAAGCAGAATTCATTACCGTCTCCATTCAGATCTCCCTCAGATTCTCTGGCGACTCGCATAGAAAATCACGAGGCGAACACCGCCCAATACGACTTCCCAGACGCCATCATGCCACGAGGAGGCAGAAGCTCATGGCGAGCAGGCAAGTTGTCTTCCTTCAACTAGAAGAACTGCGCCAGTGTATCCGTCAAAGTAGACGGCTTGCCGCCCGATGTGACTTCCAAAGTTGCTTCAATGATTTTCCAACTATGGTACCATTACCTGCGGATTGGTCGGGACAGATCCTGATGGGCAATCAAGGATAATTGGATGGATTATCATCCAACGGGTCTACTTTGGAATCAGTCACTTGGCGCATAGGAGCTCTGTTGAATCTATCAACTGGGACGAAGGCCTATTACCAATTATCCCGCTCGCCAAGGTCCTGCAGAAACTTATTGAGCCAAACCTTATTAATTCCATAATTTTTTTACCATTCAGAGCCAATATTCCAAAGTTTACATTGTGTCATAGTCCCGTCCTTGGTAAGACCGGAATCACGGCACGTTAGTCGAGAATACAAACCATCGCGTCCCTCAAGCCGATGGCTATTGTCCACCTGCACTTGCTTTTCGCGCATTGGGAATTATCAGCTCGAATCTTATTTAAAGTAGCATTGCCTTTATTGGGAAGCGGTTGTATAATACGACGTCTTTAGGATTTGTAAGCTGCTCGAACAGCGTGTTCAACCATGCTCAACAGTAATATCCAGAATAATGTAATCAATTCAGCTAGCAGTCGATAATGCCACCGATTAGTCTTCTAAGAACAGCATCAATGTCGCTCAGCTCAGAGCTTGATATAAAGAGAGGCTCAAGACGTACGAAACTAAAACCGAATTGCACTCTCAAGCATTCAATCCACGATGGCGACATTTGATGATTTACTCCGCCGTAATGAGTAAGCTGGCCATTGTACCTGTTTCAAAGCATCGCTCACACGCCTAGGGTCTATTGGAAGACGGCCTCACCCGTCCCATTTACTGCCAATTTGCCACCAGGCGGTATCCCTAGCATCCTAATTTGTATGTCTCGTGTGGGCAGATGGCCGCTTGTAATATCGCCATATGAGGCTAACAAGTATACGGATGCTTGCCTGGGTTTTCGCATGGAGCCTATGGATTTCCTGCAAATTATGTGTCTATCATTCAAGAATTCGAAGTGCATCTAATCACTCTGTGCAGAAGCTTTCATTATTCGCAACGCTGGTGGCAGTGTCTCAAACAACCTCGCCGACTTCTTCTTCATAGACCAGTTTCTTCAGAAAAATCGTTATACATCACGATGGTAAGCGGATTCAGTGGATGGCAATAACATGATACTAACAAATTCCAGATTGTGGAGTCCAGCACGTAACAGCAGAGGAGATTTCAGCGGATCTAAAAGAGAGGTTTCCCGAGCACTGTGCAGGCATCGACAAACTCCACTTTGACATGCATGATCCTGATAGGCAAGTGGGATGTAGAACTCGCAAGGAAGGTGAAGCTACTAACAGCCTATAGCGTTGAGAACAGCGTAGAGAAAGACGTCAAATGCTTAGAAGACTGTCCATTTCTCCGCAAAGGTACTGCCATACGAGGCTTGATCTATGATCTGAAGACAAACAAAGTAACAGAAGTGAAATGATCTAACATAAAATTTGAGGAATTTGTGGAATGAGGGTTCATCTGGGACTAAACATCTCTGTGTTACTATGCTGATACTAATTACAAATGGTCAATAAAGCTTTATCATTGTCTATGATTTGCTATTCACTTTTTTTTTAAAACTTTTTACACTCTCTCTCTGCATGAGTCCGAAGCATCTTAGATTTCGATGTTCTTGGTTGCATCTACCTGAACCGACGCTGTAGCTACCGTTGGGACAATGAATTAGTCTCGGCTACTTTGAGCGACTTTGAGCGACTTTAATAAGCGGAGGGAACCTTTGAAATAAAACGTGGTACAACATTGGGACTATGGTAGGACATGAAGGGATTCTTTCCGACGTTGAAAACTAGAGCCGTATCTAACCAGCCAGATATTTCCTTCTTAGGCCTGTGCGACGATTGCATATGGGCTGTTGAGGCGCTATGATGTTCTGTCCTACTGCAATTTGGATAGAAATGGGTAGATCACCATTCTCGTGTGATTCATCCTCTGTGACACATCATTTGCGGACCAAAGAGTCCCATTCCGATCTAGCCTGCAAGAGCTTCAACAAAACTCCATAGCTCGAGGAAGCAATGTCACTTGTGTTAACCTATGACTCAATTAGAAACCGTGCACTGCCATTTTGATTCACCGGCGCATTGTATCACTACCGTAACAAGTTTTTCCATCTGGCCATAGTGATGAACAAGAGGTGGATTCAGCTCCAAGAATTCGGCATACCGCTTTCTGAACGTCTCGAGGTTATCGCCTTCACGACCTTGCTTTCTGTTGATTACGCGTTTCTCCACCAAGTCTTTGGGACAGTCGAAGAATAGAACAAGCACAGGAATTTGAAACTGACAATGTTAGCGGCTTAGCTAGATTCGAACAACGGATTTGCTGTACATACCTCTCTCTCGAATGCCTGGGCTTGATCCAGACGTCGAGGAAAGCCATCCAAGAGGATAATGCCTCCTTCCTCGATATGAGGCTTCAAAGTCTGGAAGAGTAGACGCGTGGTGAGGAGTTCTCCTCGGCGCACATAGTCGACAATCGTTTTGTCGGCGTCTGGAGATGCCACCACTTGTCGTAGAAGATCTCCGATGGACAGATGCTTAAAGCCGTAGTCTTTCGCCAATATGGCGCTGAGTGAGCCCTTTCCAGCCCCCGGGGCGCCTGTGAGGACGCAGTCAGTGTCTTGAACTGACGGCAAGTGATGGACGTACACACCGAGCACAAAGATAATGCCTTCTGTCTTGGGGGCCATTTCTGGTTTCTGCAGTGTTTGGTTGTAATACGAGTTGCGCTGGTAGAGAATCCCGTTTCTTCGTGGCTGTATGCAAGAAGAAAGTGTGCGAGAAGAGAGTGTTTCGTGCAACAATAGGGCAAGGAGGGTATTTATGCTCCTTGAAAAGGATGAAGGCGCCGCCTGTGGCCAGCTGCTCCGCTCTTTCACTCTTCCACTCACACACACCGCCTCAAACTATCTTAACCTCACATCAAAATATGTCTGTCTTGATATACCTTATCATTGTCTTTCTGGCCTTTATGGTCTTCACAAAAAGAGGAGCCCGCAATGGTCAAGTGCCAATTTCTGTCAACTATCATTTCTCTCGGGTTTGCAATAAAGAGTGTCTTTTTTGCTTCCACACTGCTACCACGTCGCATATTGAGAGCATAGAGAATGCCAAAAAGGGTCTTTTACTCCTCAAGAAAGCTGGCATGAAGAAGATCAACTTTGCCGGCGGAGAGCCTTTTCTCTATCCCAAATTCCTCGGCACGATGATCGATTTCTGCAAAGACGTTCTTCGTTTAGAGTCTGTCTCAATCGTTACCAATGGAAGCTTGGCGAGGGAATCATTCCTTCGAAATCATGGCCATAACATCGACATCCTGGCCGTCAGCTGCGACTCGTTCAACGAGGCTACAAACATCAAAATCGGCCGTGGATCAGGCAATCAGGTTGAAAAGCTGTACGAAATTGCTGCTTGGTGCCAGAAATACAACATCAAGTTCAAGCTAAACACAGTGGTGAACAAGTACAACCACTTGGAAAACATGAACGAGTATATCAGCGCTCTTCAGCCATTTCGATGGAAGTGCTTCCAAGTGTTGATTGTCGCTGGAGAGAACGATTCTGATGACACTCTTCGCAACGCAAAAAGCCTTGTTATTTCTGACGATGAATTTGACCAATTCTGCCAGAGACACAGCGACCAAAGGTGTCTGGTACCAGAGCCCAACAGGCTAATGGCAAAATCCTACTTGATCCTTGACGAATACATGCGGTTCTTGGACAGGGACGGGAAGCAGCCATCAAAGTCCATCTTGGAGGTCGGTGTGAAAGACGCTCTAAAGGCCGTCTACTGGGATGAGGCAGCATTTGTGGAACGAGGAGGCATCTATGAGTGGAACAAATCATCTTGTTCTACGGAGAATAAGGAATTGGAATGGTGATCCAGTTCGTCTTTATAATTCATAAACGTTAGTGTGGTGAATCTTGTAGCCGTCATCGTGGATCAATCTAGGTGGGACTTGGCCGTATACAGTTGTGTGAGTAGGTTATATCTATGTATCTAGACTGTATGTAGCTTGTATAGTCTTTTGCCCTATCAGCAAGTACAATGTCGCGGAAATACGATAATAAGTAATTCGGTATCCGCAGGCTCAGTAAGTTCTTTACCTCATTGCTCTACCTGTGTCCCCTGTGGTTCTCATCCACCATCAACTGCTATCCCGAAAGCCCATTTAATTATCCTCTACACCGCCGTTGTAGTTGCCACCCGTTAATCTGCCGCTACCCGAATCCTTCGATAAGTTACTCATTGGGTGACACTGATTATTGTTTTAGAGAAATTGCAGCGACGCGGGAGCCCTACAACCAGCTTCAAAGTTAACTCCGACATTCCCCGAGGTGAGGAAGACCGGCTTAGTACCGTCAGCGCCCAGCGCTCGAATACCGAAGCTAGATTATGATTTGATCATTGAATCCTTTTCCTGCGGAGAAATATCCCCAGACGCGTCTCCTCAATGCCCGTTCTGGAGGGGTTCTAATGTTACTAATAACTCCGGCGTATTGCGGGGAGTTGCGATTTCGGAGAAATAGTCGTGCAGTCTAAAACTTAAAGCGTACATCACCTGTTGCTCTTTAATTGCACCAAGGTCGATCACTACATAAGGTGGCCAGAGGAGAGACTCAGTGAGCATTTCAAATCTCAAGCACTTCACAGTAAAAGCTTATGAGACGCGACAATGGCCATCACTACAACTGAGACCGCTGTGGAAAACGTTGAGCTCACCGATTTAGCTCAGGGGAGCAGCCATGAGGAGACTGGCCCTCGTGAGACGCAGCCTGAGGAAGGGCCAAATGAAAGTCTTAGCAAGTTGGCTTACTTGAGGCTTATTTCCGCCTCCTTTTCATTTTTCGTGGCTGGCACAAACGATGGCAGCATTGGAGCTTTAATACCCTATATTATCCGTGATCACAATATCAGCACGGCAATTGTATCCAGCGTGTTAGTCGCACCCAAGGCGTGACTTTGTGGCAATGATGTGAAACTGATATCAGAGAACATCTAGATATGGCGCCAACTTCTTTGGCTGGCTCTTTGCAGCATTTGCCAACACGCATCTCTGCCAGTATCTCAACCTAGGCGCGATGCTTGCCCTGGGGGCGTTGTTCCAAATCATCGCCCATGCTCTCAGATCGTGGGACCCTCCGTTTGGGCTTTTCGTCGTTACTTTTTGGCTTGTGAGCATCGGGCAGGCTTTCCAAGATACACACGCAAACTCATATGCTGCCGGCGTCAAATCTTCTCACCGGTGGTTGGCATTCATTCATGCCATGTATGCAGCTGGCTGCTTAGTTGGGCCGTTCGTCTCTACTGCCGTCGCGTCATCTGGCCAAGTTTCTAGGTGGTACTTGTATTACACGTTTCCGTTGGGCTTAGGTGTTATCAATCTTGTCTTGACTTGCATTGCGTTTCGAGACACTCTTGGATTTGTACGCAAGACTGCCGCAAGAGACAATCACGAGGACCCAGACGGTGATCAAAACGCTGAAGCAACATCCCGAAACAAGAATGCGACTCAGCTCATCAAAAAGACTCTCAGCACGCCGAGCGTGTGGCTGCTGAGCCTCTTCTTCTTCTTCTACCTCGGCTCAACCCTCACGGCCAGCGGTTGGGTTGTCGAGTACCTGGTAAAGGCGAGAGGGGGAGACGTCTCTAAAATGGGCTTCGTCCCTGCTGGATTCAGCGGCGGCGCGCTGCTTGGACGGCTGCTGCTGGCAGAGCCGACGCATCGCTATGGCGAGCGCCGAATGATATTCGGTTATATCATTGCAGCGCTTGTCTTTCAACTAATCTTCTGGTTGTAAGTCATGCTCTGCCTAGAATCAAGGCTAGGCTTATACTGAAACGTTCAGGGTACCAAACATTATTGCAGCTTCCATCGCAGTCAGCTTCATAGGGCTTTTTACTGGTCCTTTGTTTGCCACGGTCAGCCGTCCATTTTTGTCTCTTTTACGTATTCTGAAGTCTAACTCTCTGATGCACAGGGTATAAATCTCGGAAGCAAATTGTTCTCAGAAGACATCCGGAGCACAGCCCTGCCATTGGTCTTCGTTTTCGCTCAAATGGGCGGCTCTACGTTCCCAATAATAACCGGGGTTGTATCTGCCAATGCCGGCGTCAAGGTGCTGCAGCCCATCTTGGTTGCTTTGCTTGCCACTACAGCCGTAACGTGGCTGTTGGTTCCATCACCAAAGGCAACGCCAAATGCCGCCCTGCATCAAGAGTGATGTATGTAGCTAGTCCACGATGCCCCATAACTACACAGACCATAGCACGGATCAACAATCTACTTCGTAAAGCGTTTATGAAATACAGAGCGCTATGCTCGGTCTCCTCACTGGTGCTGTGGCTAACATATGCCAGCCACATGCAGTAGTAGCTTTCTGACATACTAGGCAGACACGTACAATTCGTATCACGAAATATGTAGCATAGCTTTTACATGCATGTTATAGCGCAAATCGAAACACGAGTGGGAATTTATTTGTGTTCGTTGCCAAGAGACGGCACGAAGCTTGACATCCCTTGCATATCGTGACAGCACCAACGCCTCCCCTCACGCTCCAAAATGAGTGCTATGGACGGGAAATACTTGACCGAGGTTTATACATGAGCATCATGCAAGGGTATGCATGTCTCGATATGTCTCACAGCTTTAGGGAGCGGCTTCTTGTTCCGGGTCCGAGATAGAGGTGAGATTTGCCGCAAAACAGTCGTACGCGTGACAAAGACGGTCAAACTGTTTCCCGAGCTAGGATGAGAGCCACCATGGCCGTTTTTCCGAGACAATAACGGAATCCCGGTGTTATAGTTGGCGTTGGCTCATACTGCTAGTTACCTCCCAAGTTGTAAGATCTGGACAGCGACGTGGCTGCGAGATGTAGGAGGATACAATTAAACAAAACACTATTAAACAAGGTCTTAAAGGATGTGCATAGGCCAATTGACAGACGTTCTCTCAGCAGCGTATTATAACACCAGATATCCTTACAAGTGATGGTAGCTTCTCTCCACTTTACGAGATCGATAGCGCCAATTTGAGATATCTTGATGTGACGGGACGGGACGTGACGCGATGAGATGTGCTATCGTCAATTTCCTCACTAGTGCCTCATGTAGTGTGGGCAGCGAGGTAATGAGACCAGCCGGATCACATTAATTTAGTACAGGAGTCACAGCTTTCATATCAATTTGACTACTGTAAGCCTTGCGTTGGAGGTTAAGCGGTCGTAAATGACTGCAGCGACAAGTCAGGTGGATTCGAAAAGAGAAGATGGCAATGTACCAGACGTTTGGGTCGCAGGAAGCGTTTACATTACCATATACTGCCTGCATACATGTATTTTTAATACTATTAAACTGGGCAGTGTGACTATAGGATAGGCAACCAGAACGGTTTGACCATCGACGATTCGCCGATTCACAAAGCTGCTGTATCTGAGGCAGTGTTGCTGGAATCACTGAACCAGATCTCATATCTTGCTCTCAGCGTTTTAACTAATCCCAGGCTCATGGTTTTTTGTCCCCCACGCACAAAAAACATGCATAGCCATTCATAGTTGTATACAATGACAATGAGAACATGTATTCAAGCATGAGGGTTGAGCGTGTGATGACCTCTCACCGTTATATCAGTCTCAAGTTAAAAGAGTCCTTAATATCGCCAGCGATGCAAGGGCAGCGTTTTGTGTCGCTGTGTATGCAAGGGCGCTGACCCGATATTGTGGTATGTCTAAAGACCCCAACAGCGCATTAGAAACAGCTTGACAAGCTCTCAGGGGCTTGGATCTCTCGTTCTCCGGTCTATAACGGGAAGTCTTGACTACTGTGGATAAGAGAGCAGGGTACAGCACAGGGGACGTTGGACGTCGCGGCGGCCGATCATCGCGAGACCGTCACTAGGCCAAAGCACGTGGAATTGTGCTTCATCAGTACTACTGTAACATGCAGAGAAACTAATAGGCTCAAGCCGACTCTCATCTACGCGCCATGAGATCGTGGCGGCGGGACGGGGCGCAAAAAAGCAGAGGCCAATGACCAACAGCTCATGCATACAGGCGCATCTAAATGGGGGCAAGAGGGCGAAACTACACCGACCCGGAAACTGGATGAATCAAAATCCCTTTGTGCTCAAATCGCATCCACATCGATTCATTCAGCTCCAACGCAATGGAAGGGATCGTCACGATCCACAGGACAACGTCCCGGGCGACATAAAACTCTCCCTCCCTCCCGTCCTGATGTTTTGCTTGATCAGTTGCTGTCCCGAGCTCCAACTGCTTTCCCTCCTTTCGCTCACCGCGACCCACAGATCGCGTTTGCAACGGTGAGCCGCGAGTAGATCAGTGCAACCGCTTTTTTTGTGTCGTGCCACCCGGGCTGGTAGATCTAGTCCTTGCAAATCTTCAGTTTCGCTCGCTTGCTCCCGGTCGCCGTTGCCACTATGGGTTCCGAACTGGGTCTCACGGCTGATTCTGAGCGCCGGCCAAGGATGGACCGCGTGGGCATCTTTTTCATTTGCTGGACCACGATTTGGAGCTTGTTGTTGCTCTGGGGCATGGGCTTCTTGATCCGCCATCGCCAGATGTCCATGTTGAAGATTCGGGGGATATGGCTGTCGCTGTCTTCTATTCTGTTCCTCCATCTCTATTGGGCGTCTGTGCAGCTTGGTTATGTGTTCGGGCCGCTGTACCCTGGTAGTTGCGAGTTTTGGATCATGTCGATATACCTGCCTCTTGGAATTGGCCTGTTTCACGCTTCAAACACTCGTTTTCTTCACGTCGCACAACGCCAGAAGCAGTTCATCGACAAGGCTGATACTCCCAACGCTCCAAGTTCGCACAAATCAAGCAAAAGTGACATTCTCGGACGATTTCGGGAACTTGACCACTCAGCCAAGGCTGTCGTCCTAGTCAGCGCTGGAATGTTCTTCCAGGTGAGTTCCATTCTTACTCGTAGGGCGGCGTTTAAAGTTTGGAACACCACGAGCTAACAACGTTCCTCGCAGCTATTCATGGCAGTTTTCATGTACCTCATCTCCCGCAAATGGCATAGCTCTTGGGGCATCCCAGGCACCGAGGTCCACGGGACGGAGATGGAGCAAAAGGTTGAGATGGGCCGCGGATGGGAGTGGTGAGTTTTGACTAAAGTCGTCACAATGGCTGCGTTTGCATACTAATTTGGATGAGTAAAGGACGCCTTCCATTCTCTGGCAGTTCTTCTGGGCGTGGATTGTTGCGCCTCTCACGCTGTGGCGCGCACGAGATATTCATGACACACAAGGATGGCGAACTCAGACCATTCTGTGTGCGGTTTCTGGGTAAGCAGCATATAAAACTGGCTATGAGCGTATTACTGACAGATAAAAGTCTTCATGCCTCGCCCATGTGGCTCTTTGCCTTGTATTTCTCAGGCATGGACACGATTAACCGATATTGGATTCCTCCTCAGTGGTAGGTTTAAGAAGCCATCCCATCCTAGGGTGGAAATGCTGACCGTCAACCTCAATAGGATTGCACTCTCTATTTGGCTAATGGAGATATTCACCGTTTTCCTTCCGTGCTGGGAAGTCTTGTGCCATCAAGCCCTCCGTCAAGAGACGCTGGATACAATTGCACAGTGGGAGAATAACAAGACTTTCGGCAAAGCCATCCGATCACTCAAGTCCAAATCGACAATCACAGAGTCCATCAAGACGAGGTGGACGTCCACCAGCTCCGTCAAGACGTCGTCTGTCGAGTCTATCCTTACGCTGAGCGCGCTCGAATATGTGCTAGCGAGGAACCCCGAGCCTTTGCAGCAATTCTCCGCGCTGAGAGATTTCTCGGGAGAGAATATCGCATTCTTGACGAGTGTTGCAGAATGGAAATCCTCATTTCCTGCTTCGGTTCGCAATCGCAGCAGCGATGTATCCGAAGAGACCAGGCGGGAGCTGGTCCGAGAGCGATTCAACCGGGCTTTGCGCATCTACACCGAGTACATCAGCGCTACCGATGCGGCGTTTCCGATCAACATCTCATCAGCAGAGCTCAAAAAGCTGGCATCAGTGTTTGAAGAGCCTGCGCGTTCCATGTATGGCGAAAAGCAGGCCGTCAATCCTGCAACACCCTTCAGCTGCCCCGAGTGGAACAAGCCCGACTCTACAGATTCATCTTCCGAGGGCCCCAGGTCGGTTTCTGAACATGGTAGCTGCGGCGATGGCGTTCAGTATTGGGGCGATATTCCGGACAGCTTTGACCAGACTGTTTTTGAAGACGCAGAGAAGAGCATCAAATATTTGGTGCTAACCAATACTTGGCCCAAGTTTGTACGGGCTCGGCGAGAATCCATGGATTCCTTCCAGAGCGGAAGCACAGAGGAGGGCAGTTCAATGTGGTTTTCAATTCCGTGTAAGCAATAGATAATCATCTAGCAAGTACGGGCGTTTAGGTGGGCAATCAGGCTTATCCGGTTGTATACATAGTAATCAATTGAACATGTGGCGTAAACTGGGTACTAGACCCGAAGGAATCTCGGGATGCTGTCGGACAATTTTTCGTGGCGTTGCTGGCGACTATGGCTCCAGGGACCGGACGAACGTCCAGGTGGCGTCTTCTTTTCTACGAGTCAGGCTTAGGCATGTCGAAATGTCAATCCACGCGCCTTTAGTGCGACATTTGCCTTACAGACTACATGTGGGGACGTGGAAGTGATTAGAAGTGTCCGTCGATAAGACGAAGCACATCGCGCATGTTGACTGATCAACGGCTGTTCTCGCTATCCCGAGTCTCTTATAAGAGGCATTGTCGCTTTCCGATAACTCTAGACAACAACCCACTTCACGATAGTTGCTGTTGCATTGACATTCTGCTGTTATTTGTTGCAAAAGCCAGTTTCCTCCATCACACAGATCCACCAATCAGACAATCAGCTAAATGGCGCCAATCTCACTCACCATCCGCAAGGCCGAGCCCCAAGATGCTCCAGCAATCCTCGCATTGGTGCGCTCAGCATACCGAGGCGAGTCCAGCCGCGCTGGTTGGACCACAGAAGCAGATCTCGTGGATGATCAGCGCATAGACGAAAACGGATTGCTCACAAAGATCAATGAGCCATTTGGGGCGGTTCTTGTTGCGCACGACGCAGCCGGCGATCTGATTGCGTGCTGCGAGGTTTTAAAGAAGGACGACACTGTTGGATACTTTGGCCTGTTTGCCGTAAACCCGCTGCGTCAGGCCGGGGGCATTGGACGCACTGTTTTGGCCAAGGCCGAGGAGTATGTCAAGCAGACCTGGGCCCTGTCTGAGATGCAGATGACCGTCATTTGGACGAGACAGGAGCTCATACAATGGTATATCCGAAGAGGTTATCAATTAACGGAAAAGAAGGAGCCTTTTCCATACAGCAGCTTGGTGGGCGGCAAGGCGCTGAGAGACGACTTGTATTTCTCGGTGTTGGTCAAGGCTCTTTGAGATGCGGATGAGGATGCGTTATGAGATTATGAAACAATGGCATTTTATTTATTATCGCAAGGTTAAAGCGGTAAATGTCGATTTACTTAGAAGATGTATGGGCAGAGCGGGGAGTTGATATTTTTGTACATAAGATTTGAGTTTCAAAACCGCTTCTGAAGACATGATACAGCGTTTTTTGTGCATTCCGAAAAAGAGCAAGCTGACTGTAGGAACTCCATGTAACACAGGTTCAAGATGCTAATCGCGTGAAATAAACCTCAACAAGACAACATAATGTCGCTTGCCGGTTTAGTATGAGCCACCTATTTGAGGCCTGTCACAGCGCGGCGGCTTTCTTTCATCGGGGCTGTGGAAGCAATCAAGGTATCCTATGGCTTTTGTGGAAACCCACTCTCGCAGATCAAGGCCTTCTTGTCCTGGATCTATCGTGTGTCCATTGACGCTGAGATATGAGCCCTGGTGAGGGATGCCTTCCGTCAACTCCACTGGCTTAAGTCTCCAAGCGTTGACGGAGACAGCTTCATCCTCGGAGCTAGATGTGCTAGGCAAAGCAATTGCTCTTGGCAGGCTAGTCTCGACGACTTCTCCCTCGCCATGAATGGTGAAACATCGCACCGCGCATGTCTTACAAAAGAGATTGTGCAGCGTCTGCTTGTTGCACAGGTAATCGCCCAAGCTGTCCAACGGGTTGAGCGGGGACAGCAGGAGGAAGTCGTCGAACGCAGACGCAGGACGGACGTGCAGAAACCCCGACTTGTGGCAGACCGTGCAGTTGCACCTGTAGATGCGCTGAACTCCTCGCGATGGTGGTGGTTTAGACAACCCGATCAGCGATGCAGGAGGGAGAGTCAGGAAGACGACGTAGCGAATATTGCCGCAGTGACATGAGCCTGTGTAGGGTAGACGCCGAGGCTGGTCATCCGCGAGTTGACTCATGGTTAAGATAGACGCTGATTGGATGATCAAATATCTGTTTCTTGGAGATTGAAGTGAATCCAGTATGATTGAATCAATAGATGTAAACCGTGAGCGCTGGTACATAGTTGCCAGTGAAGGATTGACGGTGTTCCGCGGAGCACGACTAGCTCAACATCTTGACTGATGCCTGGCCAACATGTTCATACTTGACTGCAAATCCCAACAACCCGAGCATCCAAATGAATAGTTGTTGGTTTGTTGAAGTTATAGATTGCATTTGTTGAACTGTCATCAACTTCGCCATCACTTACACGCCGCTCACCTATGCAGATCACGAAGAAACACATGCAGCCAAGGTATTCATCCTGTACTGCCCACAGGGCTGCATCCTCAATCCCCAATGTCAAACCGCCTCTTTAGGCTTAGGCTCTTCTCCGCCCACCTCCAAGGAAACCATCGCCGACGCTTACTAAAAGAATGGGGAAGCCTCTCGTTCTAGAAGCCCGACCTTTGCCCGAATCAGGCTGTCTTCGCCGGCAGTCGCTTCGCCCTCACTTCAGTCTATCCGCCTACTCTCTAGACTCGTCGCGTCTTGTCGACTCATAGCGCCTCTCATCAGCTGTTTCTCTCTCATCAGGCGTTGCGGGCTGCTTTCGTCAAGCCAGGCCAATACCGGAGAATCTGGTCAGGTGAAGCCGCCGGGCTTCCTACAACCAGATGCCTGCGGTGAAGCATCCGTGCCTCCAGTGCAAAGGTCCGTGGCCATATCCCGATGGTTGCAGATGAAACTAGACATTAATAGGCTTTGGTTCACAGAAAAGCACGTCAAATGTGAGATTTCATCCTCTCCACACATTTCACCACATTGGTTGCCGTGTCATAGCATGCGCTTGTGAGGGCCCATCCATCTGTACATGTACAATGGAGCATATCTTGGCTGAGCTGTATATTGACCTATGGATGGCGGATATGCGATGGTTGAAGGCCTTTAGATCTGATGGCATTGCTAACAGCTTGCCGTATTGGCCTCGTAGGTGACGAGGAACGCCCCAAGTGTCGTCGTTGTCAGAGCAAGCTATTGCCCTGTACGCGCCCAACTAAGAGGACCGTTTTCCGCCATGGCTCAGTCGTCAACTTTTCCAAGGAGCAGAAATGGGTCAATAGCGAAGTAAAGCACTGTACGTAGCTGTGCCGTGATGCCCTCACTCTTTGGTGCCTAGACTTTCCATCTTGCTTCTCCAAGCTGGTGGTGAGGTAGGCATCCGCGATACTGGCTGCTAATCGCAAGTACAGTTCGTTTTCATTCCCAAGGAGGCGGCTCCTCAGTCGTCAGCCAGGAGAGCCCTGATCAGCGTGGAGCATCTGAGGGATGGGCTGCGGCATCTCCCGACGCCAGCCAGCCCCCATATCATGTTGCATCCAACGCGGGTCCTTCGCGTGGTTCGCCTTCGACTCACTCGCCTCACTTGAGCAATCATTCCGGGGAACAAACCCCTGAAGCTGCATCGCTCAGGGCTCGGGAACATCCGTATGACGAACGATCTCCTCAATATGGCCCCCACATTCGACCTCGCGGATACAGGGAGGCAGATCATTATTCTTCTGTGGCACCTGCGGCATACCCCACTGATGAGGCTTCTGCTTCATACGCTTCCTTGTATGACCGCTATGTGCCGAGTGTGATATCATCGCAAGAAGATGAGACCCTTCAACGCCGGTTTCCCCTGGAAGATACCCGAGAAGCCTGCCTTTTTAGGTATTTCATCGAAGAAATTGCCCACTGGGTAAGTCTTTCCCCACATCTGTTGGACACGATGTCTCATCTGGCAACGTATTGACTTGACCAGTTCGACCTGTGTGACGAAGACCGCCATTTTCAGCTTGTTGTCCCTCAGCAAGCTCACCATCACCCCCATCTTCTCAATGCCATATTTGCTGTTGCTGCTCGCCGTCTCAGTCGTGTTCCCCAGTATAGGACCCCCGCTGGAATTCTTTATCACGGACAGCTCATTCCAGATCTAAGCGAACATGACGCTGTCGAGTATATGCTGAAATGCATCCCTGCGCTCCGGCACTTTCATGAAATTGACGATGATGATTATCGGGATAGCATTATTGCTACTGCTGTCATACTTCGTCAGCTGGAAGAAATTGACGAAGAGGAGGATGATGCCCCGGTGGCTGGCAGCCACCAAGGCGATACTCACCTGCACTCCAGCAAAGTGAATTTCCTCCCAATCATCAATTCTGTACTGAGGAGCTCCGCATCGCAAACTTTATTCGCTCGAAGGAGTCTGATACAGGCGGCATATTGGTTTGCACTTCGTCAAGAGATTTTTCATAGCTTGACTCGAAAACAACCGCCACAGCTGTTTCCCTCGATGGAGCTATGGCACAGCGCGTCAAAGGCGAATCGAGCCGTCTTTCATACTATACAGTGTGCAAAATGGCGCTGGGAAGACGGATCGGAGCGTGAATGGAGTAAGTTATGAGAGAAACAAGAGCAAAGACTTGGGTACTGACGCAACTGTAGCGAGGCTTATGGATCAGCAACAATATCTCGAACGCGAAACTCTGGCCAACTTCCGGCCCATCTTTAGGAGGGAAGCAGACAAGGCCAAAGGAGAAATCTTTCCTACCATCTGGTACAAATCCACTCTTGAAATGACGAGCATCCAGCAGAGCATCATGGCCAAGTCGGTGCTGGTCGCCGAGAGTCCTCTTCTCAAGTAAGTCGATCCGAGAGGCGCATCCTGTGTTGTGAATCGACCCTAACTTGTGCTCTAGAAGGCCAACAGCATCTCGCGCCGATTGGAGAAGGGCTGAAAACGATGTCCGTCTTCTACTGTTAGATCTGTGCGGCATTGCACTCTGTCATCCCGCCTCACCACCGGCACTTTTGAACGCTGCCATTGGCATTCAGCTGTACGGCGACTTTTTTACGGATAGATACGAGCGACAGGCGCTTCGAGGTGTGGTGGAAAAGTATCGGGACGCGCGAGCATGGCCGGTGCAGAAGTTGCTGAAAATGTTTAATGATGGCTGAATGCTGGGCTATCGTGGCCATTCTGATGGGATAGATGGTCGTTGTACATAGGAGTGCTATCAGGCCGATGGGAGAGCGTCCTGTAGAATTTGCAAGCGTTGGAATTTTGCAAGCGTTGTAAATAGGTTTATGGTTTAAGATGCGTCAATGGGAGAAGAACATTGTTCGCGAGAGTTGTAAATAGTTTTGAGATTTTATTGCGTTGATGGAAGAAGAACATATGATTGATGGGATCTCGACACTGAGTTCTACTCTTAGTGGGGAGAAAGTAATTGCGACGAGCTACCTGTAGTCAAAACGCGTAGACATACAATTTCCCACTTACAGCAAATCAACCTATTATCTTTAAACCGCGATAGCTTTTCCAGTCATGCCTCAAATGGAACGAAAAAAACATTGGAGCTCTCATAAACGAACGAGGGTCCGAATGATGTACGAAAAAAGGGTATACCGCCCGCGAGATTGCTGCCGCAGAGGGAGTCCCAGCCAACAGTGTCGCCGGCATCGCAAAACGCTACACACAGCAGATTTCTGCAGTGTCAAACCCGCGCTCAGGCAGCCGAAAAAGATCACCGAGGCAGAGAAAAGACGTATCAGACGGATGATTAAGATAAATCCTCTTGCTTCCAACAAAGAGATCATTTCTACGATCCCGCTAAACGTTTGTGAAAAGACTCTGGCTTCGTACCTCAAGTCAGAGGGCATCCATCCCTTGCACGTGGGCAGCAACCGCACAGCCTGGTGAACGCCTATAGTGCCTGCCATGCGCTGTGGCGCCGTTGGTATAGCGCCCTTACTAACGCTGGCAACTTCAAATCACTTCATGTTCACAACTCTGAAGTATACACAGCTCAATATACCAGACTTCATCGACTTGATTTCGTCTTTGAATCTGCGTATGCTTCTTTTATGCAGATCAAGCTCTACAAATCTGTTATCAAGCGAGTAATATTGATTCAATTGATATTTCCGCTTACCGTGCATTCTTGCCTCGGTCAGTCAGCGACGTATTCACGGTCATCATTCACTGGCATCCATTCAAGAACATTCATTCCCTGATTAGAATATAGAACAGTCACTCACCAACTGCTCAATTCACAGCAATGACAACTCGCAGAGTCACAAGAGCAGCTAAAGCTGCAGCTGAAGCCGCGTCTCTTCCAGTATCAAGCGTTTCGTCCACCAGCCTGCCAGCCAAGTCCAAGCCCATCCCCAAAGCCAAGAAATCATCACCCAAACCAAGAGCTCGAGCAAAAGCAGCTACAAAGCCAATCTCACCAACCGAAGCCCAAACCCTCAGCTTCCCATCAGCCTCTCACTTCGACACCTGGCTCCTCCAAAACTCCTCAACCCCCTCCGGGATCTGGCTGCGCTTCAGCAAAAAGGCCATCCTCGCCCAAGTCCCCTCTGTCAGCTACCTAGAAGCCGTCGACGTCTCCCTCTGCCACGGCTGGATCGACGGCCAACGCAAGGCCCTTGATGAAAACTTTTACCTGCAGCGCTTCACGCCTCGTCGCCGCCGGAGTCTTTGGTCTCAGCGCAACGTCCAGCGCGTCGAGATGCTGACGGCAGAAGGGAGGATGAAGCCCGCGGGAATGTTAGAGGTGGATGCTGCAAAGGGGGATGGACGGTGGGAGAAGGCTTATGCTGGACCGGCGACTATGGAGGTTCCTCAAGACTTTGCGAATGCGCTGAAAGAGAATGCCGTTGCAAAAGCGGCGTTTGACGGACTGAGCCGGGCAGATAGATATCCGTTTCTCTGGAGTATTACGACAGTCAAAAGGGCAGAAACAAGGGAGAGGAAGATTATAGAGTTTGTGAGCCTTTTGGCCTCAAGACAAGCATTATAATTGTATCTCGCAAATCTACATCAGGCGAATGATGGTAGAGTATGAGCTATAAAAAGCAGGCTGCTATATGAGCCGTGGTATTCAAATCTAAATCTGTGCATGTTCCCGATACTGGATGTCCCATATCAATAATCCAAAGCCGTCCAATTGTTAAAGTCGTTCCTCATAAAGCCATTAGTGCTAGTAACCCCCGGAATCCTCCGATTCATCTGCATAGCCGTCAATAAGACCGCCACCATACATTTCCTCATCATCGTCCTCGTCCTCGTCCTCGTCATTATCGTCATCATTGATGTTGTCACTGTCCTCGTCACCATCGGACTCTTCATCCGAAGATGGATGACTTTCTCGCATCTGTTGGAGCCTGGAGGCCAGACTCAGCCGCCTGACATTCATAATCTCCTCCTCATCTTTCTCATCGTCGTCGTCGTCTTCATCGTCGTCCTCTTCCACTCGCTTGTTAGCTTGCCTTCTCTTTCTTCCTCTCCCGTCTTTTCCTTCTTCTTCCTTGCTCGACTCATGCTCGTCAGGCTTGCCATTGGATACAATCCCTCCATCTTCCTCGTCGTCATCGCTATCAACAACAGCTACACGCTTGTGTCTCCTCGCAGCTCTCATAAGTCTGCTTAGAGCATCATCCTCTGCACCTCCATCATCCTCGTCATCATCGCTATCAATAATAGCTGCGCGCTTCTGACGTCTCGCAGCACCACTAAGTACGCCGAGAGCATTCTTTGCATCTCCATCTGGTTCGGTGAAGCTGCCGGTACGAGCGTGCTTCCTCCCCGACCTCTCAGATGTGTCGCCGTCCTCATCATCCGAGTCAAGTACGATGCGTCGCTTCCTTGAGTTTGTCGCACCGCCAGCTACTTCTGGGTCGGGCTCGGGAGAAGAAAAGACTGGCACAATGTCCGCTTCGCCAGCGCCACTGTAATCATCATTCGCAGAGTCGTATTCCTCGTCATATATATCGTCCCCAGAATCGTCGTTCCCACCGTTCTCTTCAATCGGGGAATCGTCGATTCCATCGCTTTCATACTCGTCGGGTTCTGATTCCTCCTCCTCCTCGTCTTCGTTGGAGGATAATTCTGAATCAGATGGCACGATGCCTTCTGCGTAGGTGCGGTCCCACTTCCTTTTCAGCTTCTTCAAGAAATCTAAGCCGTATTTATCCTCGAATATGACCATTGGCAACAGCTCGATGCCACGGGATCTTAGTAGTGGCAGAGCTGAGGCTGGCAAAAGGTGTGTGACAGGTTCACAAACTTGGTTTCTTGTAAAGTCGTCATAATCGTCCGCGTTGGGCCAGCACCATTTTGTCCACAAAGGCTCATTTCGACCATCCGTGATCATGCTGGTGTGCACGTAGATATAGTTCGAGCCACACCACAAGATATCTTTGCCAATAAACTTGTCGGGCGCTGAGAGAAGGAATAGTCGCTTGAGGTTTTGGAATTGTTGGAGGGCAAGGGTGAAGTATTCGCTGGTGTCTTCGTCTTCGTCGAAAAAGGCGTTGTAGTGGACCACAAGCTGCACCACGTTCTCTGCAAAGCCGTCGAAATGGTAGATGAAGTCTTGGAACCTTTCTTCGGTGGGAAACGGGTTCATGACCTCGTAGGTGTATCCGCTCAACTGGACAATGTCTCGATTGCGGTCGAAATGCACTGTTCCGTCGCCGGCTGGTGTTCTGATCTTGAGAGTATGTGGAAGCATCTTGAGGGCAACATCTCGGGCCTCTCGATTAGTGGCCATTACACTGCGGTTGAGCTCGGTGGCGCGTGCAAGGCTGGGAGAGCCATTGATGGTCCAATCACGATAACGACGTGGACTCGGCATGCCCCTCTCATCTGGCACCAGGTCGCTGGGATCTTTTCGAACAACGCTCTTGAGACTGAATTCGAGAAGCTGAGGCTGGGTTAGGCCAGCGAGTCCAAGCCCCCAGATCTTGATTCGCAGCTCAGGTGGCAGCTCTGCAAATTTGTGGAAGACGCGTCCCTTGTAGGGATTCTCGTCCCATGGATCTTGGCCATTGTAGAATTCGTCTTCGACGGCCGAGTCGTAGCTAGATTCTTCATCGGAGCACTCTGCGTATCGAAGGAGCAGCTCCGACGGCTTAGCCATCTTGGAGCTTGATAATGAAGCACGGGAAAAGATGGAAGTGCCAAAAAGAGTGCCAGCACTCAAAGTTGAAGGAAGGGAGGCAGCGTGAACTCAAGCACGATGTCACAGTAGACAAGGCTGAGGTTAGCTGGGCGCTAAAACAAAAAGTCGAGATTCAGCGGCAACTGATAAGATAAGGCTGCGCTAAGCTGCTAAACCGTGGGTCTGCTTTAGGCTCAATCGCCCTGTATCTTGGGGAATAAAGCACTAGACGTCAATGTGATTCTTGCTCTGGAGAGACAACGCTCTTTTCGAAAATTTTCACAAGCTCATAAACATATTCAAATTCCAATCTGTCGGAAGTTTGTACGCTGTCCTTAAGACAATGCACCTCTTTTATGGCTCTACCATATCTCGTGCTTGTATTGCGAGTCTCTAATTGCTTCTGAATCCACTAAACTGGCCTCACCACTGCTACCTAATAGGGGAATCCAGCTCACCTGGCGCTACCCCTCAAACTGACATCTTGCTTCCCAACTTCGGCCCGACATCCCTTGTGCTATCATCAGCTATGAAGCTATGAAGCGATTAATCATTTGGCAATCGCTAAAATAACAGGAGAAGCAGAGAAAGCAGTTTAGTAGAGATCTTCACCTACTTACGATAGTTTTGTCGGCATCTCACAACGCTGGTTTACAATGGCCTCCAGCCAGCCGGATGGCCTGTCGGATGGCCATGACCAAGAGACCACTACCCAAGTCATCATCATCGGCGGAGGACTGAGTGGCCTCCAAGCTGCTCAGGATCTGCAAGAATCGGGCGTGTCTTGCCTGATCCTGGAAGCTCGTGATAGAGTTGGCGGCAAACTGTGGTCGGTCCCCTTGGGTAAAGGATATGTCGATCTTGGCGGCGCTTGGACGAACAACGAGAACCAGCCCAAGGTTACGGCGCTCGCTGAAAAGCTCGGGCTACAAATGATCAGGCAGAATATTTCAGGCGACTGTATTCTTGAAGACTATGGAAGATTTCCCTACGGCAGCGATCCGCCGGTAAGCTTAATTCCACGTCTTTGTGGCTCCTTGTACCGGACTAACTTCATGGATCAATACAGTTGTCTAGAGAAGACAAAATAACCCTCGCGGAAGTTAGGGCCCGCGTAGAAGCTCTTTGCCACACAGTCACCATCGCCGACTTTGACCAGGTTCTGGCCGAGTATGGCCACATGAGCATGGACGAGCTCATCATCTGCATGGGCGCCACCGATACTGTGCGCCAAATTGTCAACATCTGGACTACGGCCATGTTGGGCGTTGAGTCGACCCAGATCAGCTCAATATTCTTCTTGCACTACTGCCAGGCTGGAGGGGGGCTTCTTCAGATGCGCTCCGACGACGCAGGGGGTGGCCAGCATCTACGTTTCCGGAATGGATCACAGTCACTGTCTAACGGGCTGAGAGATGGTCTTGAACCAAACACCGTCATATACTCTGCGGTTGTGGAACGAATTGAGCAAGATTTGCGCAGCGGATGTCGAGTTACAACACGAGGCGGCAGGAAATTTCGCTGCGAGCGCGTTATTTGCACGGTTCCAAGTCCTTTATTGAAGCAGATTACCTTTTCACCCTCGCTATCGGCAGACAAGATCTGGCTCAGCACTCACAGCAAGCTCGGATTTTACGCCAAAGTGTTCCTCATCTACACGGAACCTTGGTGGCGCAAGCTCGGTCTCTGTGGTCTGTCACAGGGATTTCATGGACCCGTATCCCTGACGAGAGATGCTTCAAATGACCAAGATGGGCTGTATGCTTTGATCTGCTTCGTAGTAGGTCAAAGGGGAAGAGAGTGGGCGCTGAAAGAAGAGCCCGACCGCTTGGCAGAGGTGATTGCTCATGTGGATCGCATTTACGGGGTGAAAATTCCGCGTCCTGTCGAGACCCGAGAGCAGATATGGAATCAAGAGGAATTCTCCCGGGGCGCTCCTTGTCCTGTGGTTCCCGCTTATTGTTTGAGGAGCTTGAGTCAAGACCAATGGAGGCCAGAAGGATTTATCCATTTTGCAGGGACAGAGACCAGTACTGTTTGGAAGGGGTATATGGAGGGAGCTCTAACTTCGGGTAGCAGAGCAGCAAAGGAAGTTTTTGATATCCTGTCTACAAGTTAGATTACAGAGATGGAATGAGAGGGCATGTAGCATGTGACCGAATAATTCTTTGCAAAGGCACTATGCATGCAAAGGAATGAAAACTTGGCTTCTGAAATTGCTGATATTAATGGAAAAGCATGTTTGAATGCTGTTGAATGCTGTAAAATGGGCTCGATGACTTTCAAAGGGTGAACTGACTCGCATTCACACAGAGCTGATGCGGCTTAAAAGAGCCCCGCCGGCTTGATGTAATGAATTGCTGACAGCTCCGAACTAGAGGAGAGATCCAGCACTGAAATCTCTGCTAGAAATGACAGCTCTCTGGGTATCCACAGCATTGGAGTTGTACGTGGAGCACGCTTAGATCGCCGTTTCGGGAATATGCCACTTGGAGATGGCATCAAAGGCAGTTGATGCCATGGCTAGCGGCAACCCTGCGCTGAGGCTCTTTATGAGCTTAATACACCCACCCGCATTCTATTTATAGACGCTCAAAGGACAAGTGAATAGGTAAGCAATACGATCATCTCGAGCTCATTGCGAGCGTTACTGGGCTGCAGAGACATGTAAGTGGGAGGGTAGCAGGGCGTGCGAAGCAGAGAGGGAATCCTGAACAATCAGCACACGATTCTCACTTACATACCACAATAACACCAAAGTTGTCCAACTACTACTGCTACTGCTACTGCTACTGCTACTGCTACTACCATTAATACTACTACTAAGCTATGTCTAGGATAAAGTGTTGAATGATAAATTGGGGTTCCGGATGAATTTTCCTTCAATGAAGTAGTGTTTATGTTTCAAACTTGTGTGTGCAATTATACTTTGCGGTCCCTTATTATCCTTTGCACCCCTTGGGTGGGTTGTATGAGCTTACCGCTACACTGACACGATGGCGAGGCAATCTATACTTACCGATGCAGAGAAGTCTGATAGAGGCGTACGAAGTAGCATGTGACCTCATATGATTATATCGTTCACTTTACATTTCATCTGGTTAGGCTCACAAAGTATCATGTTGGACAGTCGTCCTCAAGAATGACACTCTCTTGATCCTACATATCAACAATGTCTTTGCTAGCAATCACTTACAAAATATTCAGCAGATCAATGGCATAAATCGACTTGAAACTACCGTTCAAGTTAGTTGCGCATTATGGCCGGAATATTGACGATATATAGAGTATCTCAGCATCTGTTCTGTTAGCCTTCACAAGTGAGTTGCTATAAGTAGCTATTCTCTTTGGCATAGCACACGTAGCGAGGCATGAATCCTACACTATGATCTCATATTAGTTGTAGTAGAATTGGTACTTAAGATCTTTGGCGTCAGGTATTTCGTTACGCTAGTTCTCTGGACGATGGAAGGAGTAAAGAATATCGCTACGGTCTCAATGTTAGAAAGATCGTAACAAAAACATATTTTACCAGAAGACTGAAGGCTATGGCTCTCTTCGTAGTAGATATTAGTAATGACGCTGATTTTGATAATTTTATGTGGTGAGTACGTCGGATGAGAAGAGGATAAAGCATATTCTGGGCAAATTGTATGACTTTCAACAATATCGTTGATATTACTTGTTCTGATCAGAAGGAAGAACTGTCTGTGCCTGTAGCGAAAGGTATTACTTCGTAGCCGCAGTGATAGCAGAAGAGACGATACCTAGGTATGGCTCATACTTTGACAGGTAGACTGTGGCTTATATGTATAAAGTTGCGGCAATATTTACCTCAGGAGAAAATGGCAAAAATTTGATCCCCAATTCATCATTGCAGTCTTGTGGCTTTAGTCAACATGAGTTTGAAATCTCTTCTTTACCGCCATTTCGTGGATTGTAAGACTTGAGGTGATAGCTGATAACAAGTGAATAAATCACCTCTCGTGGTTTGAGTCTTGCATCATAGCTTGGATGAACCGGCACGATGCGCGTCTATTGTAGTGGAGCCGTGATGATTGCAGCTTAGTATGCAGAAACGGTCCGTTTACGCTCATTCTTGGGTTTCAATCAAGGCCCGATGAGAAGAGCCAAGGCGTCTAATTGTCAGCAGGATGCATCGCACATCGTACTTGTACTTGCTTCCAACTCTTTCATGTCCGAGCTCCCCGAACATTCCACTCGGTAGTTGATAAGGGGTCGCCACTCGCACAACCTCTTATATAGGCATGGCGACACAATTCATAGCGTTGATCAGATGATGAACGGTGAAGCAATTTCGGATTCCAACCTGAGTGGTCGCGTAGTTGAAATCGGCTTCTCCTAGTCTAACTGAGCGCGAGAAGAACAATCCAAACGCCGATTCACTCTACGGAAGCTTGATTTTACAATCAATAGCGTGACGATTTGGGCTAGAACAAATCGTTCATGACTTGGTGCGCCTAGTCATATTCCCTATATTTGTTGGCGCGTATAGGTGAGTTTTCGTATGGCCGAGGTTAGTGTTTGTGTTACATCGCAGGTGGCACACGCAGCCGCCGGCATGGGGCGCACACGTATACGAGCATCTTGTATACTGGCGTGGGGAACTCGGCGTTTAATATGCTAGATATATTTTGTACGACACTGAGCACCTGTTAGGCGGAGTTGACGTATATCAATGAAACCCAACAATCAATCATTCTACTCTCTGGCTCAATAGCAAGAATACGTATAGCGTTAGCAAACCAATGTGGTAGAACCTTGCGCAAATGAACAATAAAAAACAAAATGCTCAGGTCGTGGAACTAAAAGTTAGGAGGCCCAATACGCACCAAATTGAGTAAATATTTTAGCTACCGTTTGCCTACAATAAAGGTAAGGATGCAGTAGAAATATTCATTGGGCTCCATACATTGACCGTCGGATAATATCGCGCCATTGTCCTGGATGTTGGAACCCCGGCCTCTGCACTCCAGAAAATGCTACCGTAAGCTTAATGAACTCCGCATTTAGCCATAAAGACTCAATCCTCGGTACTTGGTATAGAGCAACTCTTTGCTTCTCATAGGTAAGTATGCAGCCAGGCAGCTTAATCTCGCGGAATATTTCTACAATTAGGTGCTAGTCTTAAATCCTAATTCCTTCTTTTGCCATCTTCAGTCCACCAAGCTAAACCAAAAGACACGGCAAGCCGATCAAGCACGGCATATCTGATTCGCGGGGAAATGCCTAAATTCAAGTGCCTGGGTCACGGTCCCTTGCTGTCTCCATCAAGTTAATATACCTAGACGTCGCGCTAGGTAATAGGTCCGACTCTTCCCTGGCGACCATCAACCTGGGGCACAGACCCCATGCACGACACTTTGAACGTTCTTTGTTGCTGCCGTTGGAAACTAACATCGACCGCGATGTCTCTGAAATCTGGCTATGCATGTGCCCGAAGCAGATGAACTATTCCAAAGATAGGCGGCCGATCACCCCCGTTCCGCAAATCATACCAAATTTGGCGTGCAAATGAATGCTTAGCGATAATCCGCGAGCGATGCAGCCTCCACGCGTGGATCGAACGCATCCGCATAGCCAAAGAAAGGGCCAGCGGCTGGGGGAGTGCCGATCATCCCCGTACGTGCTCAGTCAGTAAGATGAAGGGATAGTAGCCCATGTGTATGCGCACCAGGTAGATGATGCATGATGCCATGGTATTCAAGATCCGGAAGTTGCTTTCTTCAATCGAATGTTTGTCAGACGGCGTCCCTAATAATAGATAGTGAGAGTGAGAAGGAGAGTAAGACGATCAGCCTTGACTTTAGTGAATTCAGCTTCTGATTAGGGACGGACTGAAGCCACATTATACTACTGATGGTTCTTAACAAGGTTCTAGAGAAGCTTCAATGCTTAGCGATTTAGTCGGTGGGTAGCGAAATACATTGGTCGGAAAATTGGTGAATATGGATCACTTCACAACTCTACTGCGTATTCGCCTACTCATAGCTTGTCATGTGCAGCCTCATCGGGGCCCAACGCAAAATCCGAGGACCTCCAACAACCTTGCAACTGTCATTCTTGGCCAGGAATCAGTAGGCACATGCTCGCAACTGATTGGTGGGTTGACCTGCAGCACCTCTCCCAGGATGAAGCTGTCACAAATGCCACGGAGCTCCACACACTCCATCTTCAATGCTTCCCAATGCATACCCCAGACTTTTTATATAAGCCAGGATGGGCTCTGTCCGCATTTAGCCCCCCTAGAAGCCGCAGCCTTTAGTGAGCCAACTCCCAGTATCCCACTACGAGTTTCTAAACAAACCACGCGGCAATGCTTCAGACACGCTACTCCCCTGTCGGCTCTGGCCAATAGAGATTTGTCGTAACCCCGCCGCATCTTCTTCTCCGGCCTTCTTGTTTCGTTTCTAGCTGGACAGTAGACTACATGTAGCCAGTCCTCTCTCTGCCCACACCAGCGTATTCGGCGCATTGCTCGGCCGGCAACTCCATCAGATGATAGGGCGGTCTATGAGAGAGCCAAGCATCCTTCGCCGTTTGGACTTCAGAGTTGCATTTGAGACTCTGTGGGCTCGGACCGAATCCGGATCTGCAGGAGGGTGCTGGAGACGCGCTTGTCCCCGATGAAGCTCTCCAGGAACGCGGATAGCTTTGGAGAGCATTGGGTAGATTCTGCGAACACGCTATCCCTGTTGCGATGATTAAACAGTTTGTTTCGAAACATGTCAGCTCGCAAGAACGACGAGATTATGTGTGGATATTGGTTACATTGGAGATAAGACTAACACAAGGTGTCCAGGAGTCTCTTCAATTGATATATAAGACATCAAGAGTCCCCGGACTCTGGACTTTCGCTCACCAGGTTCATCTGTCAGCTTCAACCCTCAGCGTCAATCCTCCTCGAGTCGCCTAAGAACCAATTCAGTCTAAAAACTTACATCATGACTTTGAAGCAATCTGCTTTGGCCGCCCTGGCCGCTGCCGTTGGTGCTCAGGCTCAGCTGTTCACTGTCAACTGCGCTCCCCTGACCCAGTTCCGAGGTGATCCCATTGTCTCTCCCGGCGGGCTGTCTTCTCACGTCCACGCCGTTGTTGGTGGCACCGCTTTCTCCTTCAGCACGACTCCCGCTCAGGCACGAGCTGCCTCTGCCACAACATGTGACAAGGTCCTCGATCAGAGCAACTACTGGCAGCCCCAACTTTACCATCAGCGAACTGATGGTCAGTTTGAGCTGGTTACTTTCCAGGGCAGTGTAAGTTGCCAGAATTGCTCTCCATACCATTTATGACTTTACTAATAAGCATTATAGGCCGCCTACTACATCCAACGGGCGTGTGATTACGCTCCCGGTCGCACAAACTGCGATTCAGCTCCTCCTCCCATTGCCCCTCCTCAGGGCCTCATCATGTTGGTCGGAGATCCAAACCGACGGTATGTAGTTGACATGAGAACGCCATTCTTCGCTCATCCCAGTTCTAACCTTTGACCAGCACTTTCAATGCCTCGAGCTTCGAGGACCAGGCCATCTCGCACGTCTGCCTTGACGCCAACCCTGTGCCCGACTCCAACACTTTCCCCTCCAAGCAATGCGATCGCATCCGTTCTGAGACATTCTTCCCGTCTTGCTGGGACGGCGTCAACTTGGACAGCACCACCCACAAGTCTCACGTATGTTACATCTCTTGCCTGTCATGGGGTTTCTCGGTATCAAGATACAAGTCTAACAAGATAATAGGTTGCTTTCCCCGCCATTGGTGCCTACAATACAGGTGTCTGCCCCCAGTCACACCCCAAGGCCATTCTCTCGGTCTTTTACGAGTTCTTCTACGACACTGGCTCAATCAAGAACTACAACCGCCTCGTCTACGCCGACGGTGATGCCACCGGCTACAGTCTCCACGCAGACTACCTCCAGGGCTGGAAGGACCAGAATGCCCTCAACAACGCCATCGCCACCTGCACTGGCCCCAACGGTGTGCTTGACAAGGGATGCAGCTTGAACGTCGGACCCAACGGCACCCCTGGCTCTTCTGGACCCCAGAAGCTCCAGATCGCTGCTCCTACCGAGAACATTGGACTCAGCGGCCCAATTTCTACCCTTCCCGGCAACAACCCCATCCACTAAATTGTTGGCATACCGAAACCATTGCAACTTCGATTCAGCCTACAAGATAGCAACGAAAGACAATCGATCGAAACGTAGCTCTAGCCATCGGGCGCTTATCGCGGAGCAGAGAGAAAAGGTTGCAGTTTGAGGGAAAATGTTATTGAATGAACGAATGATGATTAGGAATGATACGGATCCACCACAATGGCTCCGTTTACACCACTACTTTGATTTGGACAGAACGACTCCGATCAGGGTGTTAATCGTGCACATAGTTAGCATTTACATACGCAATAAAGAACGATGTACATAACACTGATTTCGCACTTGTGTTGATCCTTTCAGAAATACTGATACGACTTGACTGACTGTACCATTGTTAAATACTGCGGCAGTCTCTGAATGTATGCATGAGCGAAGAGATATAAGGAAAGTGAAACAGAGAGCTTTTGGTTCAAGCCTGGCTGAAAACAAAGTAGGCTGATTAACGTCAACACGAAACTGCTAGCTTACTATGTTATGACTTCGTACCTCACTCAATAAGAGATGGGAAAATCTCAAACGAAAAACGCCAAAACAAGAATTCAAAAAGTAAATCTCAGGTACTTATGGACGAACGGGGAATCGAACCCCGGACCTTTCCCATGCGGTTAAGTAGCTGAAAGCTGCTTGATGCTAAGGGAAAATTATACCACTAAACCATCCGCCCATTTGAGCCTTCTGATTGGCTGAGCAGTCCAGACAATATTCCTCTCAAGAATCTTTCGAATCGTGATGAATTGCGTGCAGAGGATGCACACAACTCTATTACCCTGAATCAAATGGAACAAGCTAAAAAGCCAGACGAGACAGTGATGAACTCTGTTCTATGTGGATTGGTAAGCTTACATATCTGGTTGTTGTTTACTCAGGCAGCAAGTACTGAGATCCAGAATTAATCCAACTTTTAGGCATAGAGCAACTACTCAATTCAAACATCTTGATACTGGGTTCAAGAGCTATTAATAACTGCTTTCATCCTAGATAAATGGCAAGATCAATTGCGAGTCATATTTACCACCCGTGTGAATTGTATGATGACCAACATTCTCGTTATTGTCATATGCCGGCTTGATCCTGTCCGTGTCCGGATAACACATATCATATCCCGCCACGCGCAGCATGATGCCTTCACCCGGTGCAAACACCATACCCATCGGCCATAGAGTGATTTCAAGTACCACAACTTCGCCCAAAGGAATCGGCTCCCGCCTATCATGCTTATAGACCACCTCTTGAGCTGTTGATAGCTTATCGTCTTTAGTCACTCGGTGTGAGGCACGGAGGAAGCCTTGAGGGCCAAGACATTTTGCGATGTTGTCATTTCTAACCTCAGAGACCGGCAAAGGGCAAGGATAGTTGAGATGCTCGAGAAGCCTGCCATCGGTTGAGATCTTGCGGATCTGAACGGCAACATCGAGGTCGTCGTGCTCCTCGCATGATATCCAGAGCTTGACTTTTGCGTATCCGGCTATTTCCGTATGCTGTTCAAAATGGATGACAAAGTTCTATCACACAGTGTTAATGCAATCCGGCAAAAGGGATATTGAATGACCTACCGAGCTATCTGTTAAGCCTTCAGCAAGATGCGTGATCGAATCCTCCGAAGCTGGTTTATTCCACACAAGCTCCTTTGACGCGGAGTCAAGGTATAATGTCTTCAGCTGTTGTCGAGCCAAGGGCCACTCCTTCTCAGGCCGTTCTTCGATAGATTTTGTGAGGCTGCCGTCCGCTTCGAATCCAAGCAGGGATAAGCGAACGGGAGGAGTATCCTCTTCCCAGCCATTTTGGATACCTTTCAAGAATCGATCGTAGAACTTTTTGAGATCTGCATTTGCTTCTGGTCGGTATAAATCATACCATTCTTGATATCGATGGACTCGAAGCCACTTTTGTGATGTCTTGGCTGTGCGGAATGTGTGGAAAGACCCTCGAGTATGGAGTTGAGAAGAAAAGGAACCCAGTAAGTAGATCGGGACGTTGATATTCTCTGTATGTATGTACTTGCTTTCCCAGTAATCATCAAACAAGGGTCGTTCAGCAAACATCTCTGGCATATTCTCCACTGAATTTGCACCCGCAAAGCCAGACAAGAGAAACCTATGCAGACCGGGGTTGTGTCTTCGCCCCCCTCTACCAAGAGTATCACGATACACATCGTGTCGGCCTTCCCAAGGGGCCAATGCCTTGAGTGCTGGATGCTCATGGCGCGACGCAAAGTTGATTTGCGAGATAGCTAGCCACGAGTTACCGGCCATTCCAACTGAGCCGCTACACCATGGTTGCTTGGAAATGTAGTCGATGATGTCGTAAACGTCTTCGGCTTCCTGGGGGCCGTAGAAAACCACGTTGCCTTCAGACTTGCCTGCTCCTCGAGCATCAACGTTGATTATGGCATATCCAAATTGCGCCCAGGTAGCAGGATCAGGGCCCTCGAACTTTTCATATCCAGAGGTATCTTCAAGTTTGAGACCAATGCGATGGGGTCCCATAATGTCGTAGTTGGGCACTCCGGTGCCCGTCTTGCCATAAGGGCTAAACGCAATGACTGCAGGGACTTTCTCATCCCCGTCTGTGTTTGCCGGGCGAAAGATGTCTGCGTAAATCTTGATACCATCGCGCATAGGCACCGCCACGTCCCTTTCCAGAATCGTGTCGACAGGGAATGGGAGTGTGCCAGCCCAACGAGTGTGGCCTTTTTCCAATAAGAGTTTGCTGTTGGGCTCAAATCCGTGCCAAGTATAATTAGGGTGCGCCTCTGGAGACGGCAGTTTCTTCCATTTCAGATCAGGGAACTGTTGCTGAAGTTTTTCAGAAGTTGTAGCCATGGTAATTGGGTCAATGGTAATAAGAAAGAAGTTAATGATGGTTTAGCTGACGTATATTGAAAGATGAATGATGTTGTGAGTAAAGAAGTCGCAAAAAAACAGTCGGAATCATCGAGTATATATATATATATATGTACATCCAGTAATGCATAATGCCCAAACAGCAGATTACTGGCTAAAAACTTGCCTTCCAAGAGCGCTGGAACTTCAAAGTCCATGATTAGAATTAGCTATAACGCTGTCCGACTGATCGGAAAGATTGAACCGCTTTGTGGCTTCGCCCCGTTGCAGGACGGCTCTGCCGGAGACCGTTTCGGTACTACTGTGAGCTTGGAATTGGCCCGTGGTGAAATTGCACCGCGACACACTCCAATGCGAATTGTAGCGCAATCCTGTGTACTTTAATTTTAAAGTTGTAATCTAGTGGTGAAAGGTCAATTTGATTACATCTTGCACAAATAGATCAACCGGTGAGAAACGCGCATTGCAAATAGAACCGTGTAATCGGTCCAGTGTTAGCCAAACACATTTCTCATCTGTTGGTAGTATTCCAGCAAGTGACCACGGGCTCGCTGTATCTAATTACGCCATCCACCATATTGTACTTTCGGTCTTTCTTGACTCAGATGTAATAGTCCATGTTTACTAGCCAAGCGCAGACCATTCATGTAGTCCAGACATCGTGCAACGCCCCGCGATGCCCCGCGACGCTCCGGAATGCCCCGGACTACCCCGGATTCACAGTCTTAGTTTAGTCAAAGTTGGAAGAATGACCTGTTTTGAAAGGTGGCGAGATTATAATGTGAATAAATTGTATAAGAAGCTGATGGCCTCCATCATGAGAGAAACAACGACCAGAGCAATCACTCAGCCAGCAACCCCAGTCAACCATCTACTCTAATCTCACCCAACACTTTGATATCACTTCTCCCTGTCTTCAGCAATGAAAATGGCGAATAATAATTCTTCTTTTACGCAAGAGAAGAAACCTTCAAACTGGGTACCTCTCCTGGATGGGCCCCTGCGCCAAGAACGCAAGCTTCGTGTTGTATGCGTTGGCGGCGGCTGGTCTGGAATGACTTTGGCTCACAAGCTCACGCACGAGCTCAAGTGGGATCATTTCATTGATCTCCAGATTTACGAGAAAAACCCTGATCTTGGCGGTACTTGGTATGAGAACCGGTACCCCGGAGCGGCTTGGTAAGTAGCCCAATCTGACATTCAAACAAACAAGGCTAAACCTTCTCTATAGCGATGTTCCTGCTCGTATGTCTTTCGTTTCCTATTTAATTGATAATAAATCTCATTTGATAATTATTAGATATTTACGTCTTCCCATTTGAGCCTAACCCAAACTGGACCACCTTTTATGCCAACAGCCCTGAAATCTGGCAGTACATGAAAGATACTGCTAAGAAATGGGACCTCGAGCGCAACATGTTGTTCAATTCTAAGGTCATCGATTCCATCTGGGATGAGTGCACTGGTAAATGGCGACTCAAGGTTGACCGCCAAGGCGAGATCATCAACGATGAATGCGACGTTCTCATTAATGCAACTGGATTCCTACAGTAAGCTCCACGAATACACCTCCATGAGACACAAGGCATTCTAACTCTGGAAACCTCTAGCAAATGGTCTTGGCCCAATATTGAAGGTCTTCACAACTTCAAAGGCAAGCTTGTTCATACTGCATCTTGGTAGGCAATGGAAACTTCCGATACAGCGAATAGACTATGGTACTCATATGCATTATAGGGATCAGTCACTGGACTGGAGTGGCCAGAGAATTGCCCTAATTGGTAACGGATCATCTGCCATTCAAGTCTTGCCAAAGGTCCAGAAGACCGCCCAGAAAGTCGTAACATACGTCCGCAGCCCTACTTGGATTGCCGCAAACTTTCTCAACCAGTTCTCCGAAGATGGCAGCAAAGTCTTTACTGAAGAACAGAGAAAAGAGTTCAGAGAGAATCCAGAGAAGCTATACCAACTGCGCAAGAAATTGGAGCATGGGTACGCTCATCCCTCTTAAACAGCTTTCCACAAATTAACAGTTTTTGGCTTAGATTTAATGAACTCTTCAAGGCCATGGTCGTCGGCCGGCCAGAACAACAGGAGCTTGATCGCGAACACAACGAGATTATGCGCCAACGCCTCCGCCAAAACGCTGAGTTGATTGATCGTCTGGTCCCTAGATTCACAGCGGGCTGCCGCCGCCTGACGCCTGGTGATGGTTACCTGGAAGCTTTGCAAGAGGACAACGTCAAGACCACTTGGAGTTCCATAATCAGAGTAACAGAGAAGGGCATACTTACGGCTGAAGGCGAGGAAGAAGTTGACATCATCGTCACTGCTACTGGCTTTGATGTGAGTTATAGACCAAACTGGAACCTTGTCGGGCGCAATGGCGCCACTCTGAATGAACTCTGGGCAAACGACCCTCTGAGCTATCTTGGTATTGCCGCTCCAGAGCACCCCAACTACTTCATTTTTGCAGGTCCCAATACCCCGGTTGCACATGGCGTATTCCCTGGCTCTTGTGATGCGATGGCTGCTTATATCTTGAAGTGGTGCCGCAAGATTGCGTCAGAAGACATCAAGTGAGTTTCAAGGCTTACACGCAGACGTTGCATAATTTAGGCTTTACTAACGGCATATCATAGATCTGTATGTGTACTACCTGAGGTGGTAGACGACTTGGACGTGTGGTCACAAGAGATGCTATCTCATACTGTGTGGGCTGCTCCATGCCGTAGCTGGTATAAGAATGGGAGAACCGACGGCCGCATTACTGCTCTACATGCCGGTAGTGTCATCCATTACAGAGGTCAGAAAAGAATTCCTCGGAATATTGTTTGTGAATTGGAGAGCTAACGAGAGCCATCAGAACTACTGGAGGACATTCGCGGTGAGGATTTCAAGATTGACTACCGCTCGACGAACAAGTTCCGCTTCCTTGGAAACGGATTCACGAAGAGAGATATTAACGGAGAGGACCTCGGTTAATATCTAAATGCACCGGTTGTCAAAGATGCATAAGCTTTTGAGCAATATTTTCTAGTTATAAGTCATGTCTCATGGTGAGAATTTCAGGTTTTTATATAGTTAGATCTTATCGAATTCAATCCAATCCGATTTACTTACGAGAACCGCACTTCAAAAAGGCCTCCTTACTCACTCAGAATGCGCCCATAAGTTGTGATGAAATATAAACCTCAATAGTGTTCTGGGCTTTACCCTTGCTATTTCAACAGTTTGCATGTTCAGATCTTGTAAATAATAGTGCTGAATTGCAAACACTGTGTAGTGGATCAGTGCCTAGTTTTACAGTTGGGAGATAAGTTCGCAACTCCCAGCTTCTGGAATGATAGACAATACCGAGTATAAATCTCTAGCAGTTCGATCTTACAGCATTCTTCGATCTAATCATGAGTTTATTGGGTATCTATTATTCTCATAGAAGCTTGTGTTATCCTGTGCGCGAGAGTTGGATTCATAAACCAACTACTGCAAATGAGACAGATCCAAGTTGACCCATGAGTCGTTTATGTCATAAGGGAAGAGCTGCTCGATACCAGCCATAAAATCCCCATAGTCTACGGAAGCATGTTGCTCAGTGCTATTGCCAAGAAGAGGCATCAATGACAGCATATTCGAATTCATCGATGTATATGTTAGCGGATCGGAGTAATTCGACGACCCAGAAGACGCATCCTGGTGAGAGGTCATCGTTTCTGAAGTTGGAATCCCGCCCAAGTTTTGCAAGTTATTATCACCGCCTTGCTTTGCAGTTAAACCTTTTAATGAAGTCTCAACTCTGGTTAGTCTACGTTTCAAAATATCCATGCCGCACCAGAAAATGATTGATCGATCGATGTTGAGACAGATCAGCTCATAATTCGAATCCGCCAGCTGCTTATTGAGAGACAAAGGCCCAAACATGCGGCACGCTATTTGTGCCGCCGCGGCAATCCACAGCGTATTGGTCATAAAAGGGTTGGTGTATTTGTAGTGCTCACCAGAACTATTGCGTTCGATGGTGATGACATCCTCAGAGGCCTTCATATAATTCGACCATAAAGGATGATTGGAAACTTTGTTCTCATTCCCCCCGTTTATATTTTTTGCTTGAAACGGAGTCATCCAGGGGGCTTCGGCGGCGATCTGGTGTTGGAAGATCATGAAATGGACAAGCTGTGTTATTATATGAATGCAATATATGTCGTTATGATACTGACGACAGCTGATATCTTGCGGGGACCTTTTAGTGAGAAAGTCAAGAGCCTGTCCATGATAGGTAAGATCGGAGGGAAGTGAGTTAGTCGTGCAGTACAAGCAGTTGGCTAAGATGGTAACATAAGCGATATTTGTTGTTGGATCGCTTTCGAGTTTATAATCCGGCAGAAGCAACTGACAATTGTATACAAAGGAGTTGATAACAATGTACCAGGCTTTCGGGCTAGAATTGCCTGACTTGTGCAACTGCTTCCAGCGGAGATTCGGATCTTCGGCGAGATGGCAGCTTCTTTGAGGGCTATCACCAAACCAGCAGCTGTCAGGAACTGGCAGAAACGTAAAGTTATAGCTCCAGTTGATAGCCATGGGCAAGCGTCTAATTGCACTAGCAAGGACATCCATCTCCCAGATGGCCCACCAAGCTCTTCTTTTTTCCTCAAGCATGGACCAATGCTCCGTGTCGATGTTGTGATTGTCCTTGTCTACCTGTCGCTTGGATGGAAAATCCACTCGATGAAGATTCAGCTCGTATGCTAGCCGGATACAAACCCCCAAAAGCCTCCATGATTTTGACCGGACACTTTGTGTCAACTGGTAAAAGGTGAGGAGGATATAGGCCTGAAGAAGCCAGAGTGGAGCTACTGAGTCGTCCAGTTGCTCAAGGGCGTCACTTAGGCGTTTTGAAGCGATACGAGCAAAGTAGGAATGCGAAGGACAGTCGGTGGGACGTGACGGCGTTTTGAAGGAAGAATGGAATCTTGCGGCGTAGGCGAATGTCGCGGCTACTAAAGCTTCAGCTTCAGTTGCGGATTGCATCTGAGAAAATTTTTCCTCGATCTTATACGGCTTGAACAGTGTAAATGTTGTCATGTTGTTAAAGTACGAGTCCATCCTATGCCGCTTGTCAGTACACTAAAGTCTCTTGTAGTCGCTTCACAGGCGCTCTGAAATCAGAGCATGCTTGGAAACGTTTGAAGATTGAATGAGGCTTACAGGTAGTTGTAGAGCTCTTTGGAGATTTCCAGTCCCTCACACACGCGTTTCACAATAGCTTCGGTGGCCGTACCTCCACAAGAAGGAGAAAAGCCTGATTGTAGCTGCACCTCGTGTGAAGGATGCATGATCTGGACGAATGTTGTCGCACTCGCAGGAGTATTTTGCTCGTCATCGCTATTCGCTAAAGGGGGAGACTGTCTTGAGAGTGGAAGATTTTGAGTCGATGCTTGAACAGGCTTTGCAGCTCTGGTTAATGGCGTATCATCGGTGGATAAGGCACTTCGTGAGGCAGTGGCCTCGGGCACATTAGGAGAGGGGCCTCTCCTTGAAGGACGCCCATTTCGTGAATTAACGGGCCTGCGAGTGTTTTTCTGGGTACTCCCTTTATCACAATATCAGAGTTGGAGCAAATCGTAGTTGATCAGTACATGAGGCTTAACCAACCAACTTTAGGACCTGGCTTTTGATTGCAAGTGGGATATTCACATGTGCCACTCAGCCTATCGCAGAGGCCACAAATGGGCAATGCCCGATTACTGAAGGCCAGTTAGATGCATATCAAAAAGCAAAGCTTTAGTCAGCCTCGAGGTCATGAGCTCTAACCACTTCACTTTTCTCCTGGATTTTGAGATGTTAGTAGGTCGATCCTCCAAAGGGATACAATTCTACAAGCGTACCTCTTACAGGCATAGCACGAAAAGTCGGAAACGGAGCGACCGGCTGTTTCACGCATGGTCCTATCCGGATGTTTTGATTGGTGACGGCGTAACTTCTAGAGATTCCAGAGAAACAAATGGCCGATATCAGGGATACAGGGGATGGAAGCATGCGAGAGGTATGGTTGAATTTGAGCGGAGCTTCTCAAAGTCGGCGGCATGTCTTCCACTTAATGTGCCGCTTCAAAGCTCGCGACAAGTGCGAGCCGCGAAGCGCGAAGTTAGTAATCAACTACCTTTTCCGGGCGACGTTAAGCACGAGACAATTCGCGGCGCTAGCCAAGCTGACTCGATATTCTTTGGACGAATGATCATTGTTACGGTGCATTCAGGCACTAGTTTTTGCATTCCGCGCGTTAACGGCGGGAATAGGCAGGCTTACGAAGTTATTACAAGTAAGGTACTAGAATTACTGTCCGCGAGGTTCCGCGAGGAATAAAATGGATCAGTTGCTTAAATGAATTAAGGTTATCCTGGGGTTTATGGCCCCATAAGTGTATAAGGTAAGCTGCGGAAGAACTTCGTCGGCTCGTCTTCTGGAATTCGACCGTTCGATGTGATGTCATGCCACCTATATCACAAAAGGCTAGAGATCCAATGGAATGTTATAATCTCATCGTTTACTATATAAGTGCCGATCTCTTAGCCTGAAAAGGTCAACTAACTATTCAGCAAAATACTCAACATCGTCTAGTTATCTCACTAACAAACTGAGCGATACTATTACTCTTTTACTCTAAAAATTTATAAACTCCTTCAACTAGACACATATTTTCGCAGTTAAGCTTTTTCACCATGTCTACCAAGAGAATTATTGCGGTACTCGGATCAACTGGCAACCAGGGTGGCTCTGTTGCCAAAATCTTCCTGAATGACCCTAAACTCATGAAAGACTGGACTGTCCGCGCTATTACCCGAGATATCACCAAAGAGTCTGCGAAGAAACTTGAAAATCAAGGTGCTGAGCTTGTTGCCGTAAGTTGAGAGGAAAACATATCTTATCTTCAACCAAATAAGTCTCTGTGATCTCCTTTACTAACACAATTTAGGCGAATATCAATGATGGCAGTTCATTAGCCAAAGCCTTTTCTGGGGCTGCAGCCGTTTTTGCTGTCACAAACTACTGGGATACGATGAGCAAGGAAGGCGAAGAGCAACAGGGCAAGACAATTGTGGATGCTGCGAAGGTAAGCCTGGCTGTGCGTGATTAAAGGTTTGAGGCTTAATGCTAAGATATCGGATATAGGGTGCTCAAGTACAGCACTTCATCTACAGCTCGCTCCTCGATGTCACTAAGGGTAAGCTACTTCTTTGCTCTCAAGACAATGAATTGCAAGACATGTATCGTTTATACTGACTCAACTAAATGTGCAGCCACCAATGGTAAACTGGCCAAAGTTTACCACTTCGATAGCAAGGCCGCGGTTGAGCAATATGCTCGTGACTCCGGAATTCCAGCCACCTTTTTCCAGCCTGGTTTCTTCATGTCAAACCTCCCTGGACAGATGCTCTCTCAAGAGTCGCCTGATAAGCCGTGGACACTAGCACTTCCTACTCCGGAAACAGCGCCATTCCCGATGTTTGACGCGGAGGCTGACACGGGAAAATTTGTCAAGGCCATCGTACTGAAGCGTGACGAGGTCCTGGGCAAGCGTGTGCTTGGAGCCACAGCATACCAGACTCCTACAGAAATGCTCGCTGACTTTAAGACTGCTTTCCCTAATGCTGGCAAGGATGCTAAATTCTTTTCTCTCCCCCACGAGATGTTTACGGCTGCATTGAAGGGAAAGGGGATGCCGGACTTTGCGGCTGAAGAACTTTTGCAAAACTTCCGTTTGATGGATGAGGGTGGCTACTATGCGGGGGAGAAATTAGACTGGAGCTTGTCTCTTCTCGAAGACAAGCCAACGACCTGGCTGGAGCATGTGAAGGCCGCAAAAGCATTCCAAGGCCTCAATTAGGGCTTCATGTAGGGATTCCCCCCTCATTTCTATAGCTTTAATTTCATCACTTCTTACTACTTTCTTGAGTTCTCAGGAATACCAGCAACAGATAAATAGGCATCGTGAAATACACCGCATATTGTACCAAAATGCAACACAAATCACATGCTAATAGACAAGGGCGGCGTCCTTATGTGTGTACACTTTTAGTCCTGTATCGGATTCCATTACATTCCATCTCCACTTTCCGAGTAGTATTTACTATCCCTACTTACGATGTGTACGAGGTGCCAAGCGGAACCCTTACCGCCAACTCTAATATGACGAGAGCCGCTCCCGAATTGCGACATGTGAATTACAATCCCAGTTGCGATGCCGAGATTATACGACTTGATTGCCCAAGGGCTCTGTTACTTGAGATTTTACGTAAGGCACCGATATACCGTCACCTGTACCCATATCGCACAAAACGGAACTTGTACAGTACGGCGGTTCCTGCGTGATAAATGATCTCTGCAGCTATACAGCGCTATATCGATTTTTTGGACTTAATTTTACAAGCCCTATTGAACAGACTTGCGTGTTCCCTTGACATCGTCGGCATTGGAAATTAGCATTAGGTCCGGAAGCCGATCGGGTTATCACGCGAGTTTAAACCGTACTTAGAAATACATTGGTCAAAATGCATAATATTGCATTAGTACAGAGTGAAGGTGCATTAATAAGTGAGTGGCACATAATATGCAGTCCAGCAAACTTGCATATAGTGACCCCTACAAACGTCTGGGAGAGACCCGAAAACTTGTACCCAATGCAAATGAGATTATTTAACTCAAAATTTTTTTCAATGTTTAACATCTGACTCTTACTCTTCAAAGTTAACATGTTGTGCCCTCCGGAGTATTGTTTCACGGTATGGCTTAATTAGACCGGTGAGATAAGTGCGCGTCAACTTCGGTCAAATTCCACCAACATTGAGTACAGTTCAACCGATCTGTAAAACAGCAAACCAATATATATACTGCTTTTAGAATTAAAAGAAGCGAGAACTACTTAAATAATTAGGTCTTTATGCTCATCATAAGTGACTTTTCTTTACATCTGAAAGAAAAGTAATTAACAGCGCGTATAGCATCGTCATTCTCATTCACGTCGCTCACTATGGTTATCACTAAGAAAGAGAGCGAATATGTCGTCGCGGATCCTAACTTCAAGCCTCTACCCAAATTGGGCCATTTCAGTGAACTAGATCCAGAGTACGCAAAGCTCAGGCCCGTGATGAACACCATGATGGAAGGTTTGTGGCAACCTGAGACGTCTTTAGAAGACTTTCGCAAAGCCTGGCTCAATGATACGCCGGCGCCTGATGGTTGCCCTGTAGAGGGCAAGGATGTCCTCACTGAGACGCGGATGATTCCTACACGGGATGATACGGAGATTGAGGTCAAGTTGTACATGGCCAAAATAAAGAGTCCTGACTCTGCAATGGTTATACGCTACCATGGCGGTGGATGGGTTGTTGGTGGGCATTGCACTGAACATCCTGAAAATCTTATGATTGCTGCTTGGACGAATTCAGTGGTGGTCAGTGTCGACTACAGACAGTGAGTGGAATAGAAGTGTGATATGTTTTTCTCATTCATTAACGGTATGATAGGGCGCCTGAACATAGGTTTCCGTATGCACTCAACGACTGCTTCGATACATTAATATGGGTAGGTGCTCTACATCTATAGGCAAGATCAGATAACTGTACCCTTTGTGCTAATGTGATGCAGTGCCGCAATAATGCTGCTTCCATCGGTGCCAATGCATCTAAGATTATCCTCAACGGAAGCAGTGCTGGTGGGAACCTAGTAGGTTGATTCATTTCTCAGCGTGTAACTCATACAGTGGCCTCAAATATGTAAATCTGTAGGGTAATCAAGCTAACATGTTATTCACCAGGCTAGTGTTGTCGCTCTCATGGCCCGAGACGAAGGTTTCAACGGTATCGTAGCCCAGATCCTCTCATTCCCGATAACTTGCCATCCCAAGTTCTTTCCAAAGGAAGCGTACGAGATGGGTAGCTACCAGCAAAACTGCAATGACAGCGTTGTGACCGCTGCCCGTATGGAATGGTTTTGGGACTTGTACGTGCCAGAGCCAAAAGACAACTGGCGCTACTCACCGTTGCTTGCGCAGTCCCTGAAGGATCTTCCACCAACGTGTGAGTAATAAACATTCAATCCAACGACTTAGCCAGCTAGGCCCAGAAAGCAACTTCAGCTAACAGCCAATGCTTCTACAGTAATTGTGGCTGCGGGATGCGACATTCACCGGGACGAGGCAATTGCTTACGCAGAGAGGTTACAGCAAGAGGGTGTTGATACGGACTTGAAGGTATACAGGGGACTGCCGCACTGTTTCTATATGCTTCATACGCATCCACAAGCAACAGATTACTATAGAAGGATCGTAGAATTTGTCAAGAAGTTCTCTAGCTAGGTATGGAAACGAGAGGTGTGTTCGCAATGAGGAAGCTATTGGCGCGTACAATGCTTGTCTCGATCTATATAGTACGCCGAATATGAAGGCGGCTTATTTTGCCCAAAGGCTGAGCTTGAATGATGTATTAAACCTGAAATACTAGGTGGAAAAGCTCGGTAGGTCTTGTTCCTACACATCACGCATCTCCATTTCCCTTAGAGACATGGTGCTACGCTGGGCCTTCATCGTTGCGTCACCCGTATAGCAGACGGAAAGCCCGACGGCCCATGCGCAGGGATCTTAGCAATTGCTATACGAGACATTATGCGGATAAAGTGAGACCCGGTGCTCATTTCTTTATATTATGCGGTGCGTTCATCTGTATAACCTATTGAGTCGCTAACATTATCTGCTGTGCCTCTTACTTCTGGCCGCTTGATGTCTTATCCATGACATTCTAGACTATGTTGCACTGCTTCTTCAACGTTGCAGCTGACTGAATTGACTGAATTTGGGGGGATACGAGTCAGTGGAGCCGCCGTCGGCATTAAGCTACACGATGAAGAGCGCTCCCGTGTCTGCCGAGACTATTCTCCCTACCTAACTACAACTAGCAGCACTACTACTAGTAGCAGTATTGAACTCTCCTCACTTGCACAAACAAGGCAGCTCAAAACGGCAAACTGGTATTTTATCCGTAGAATTATCCGCGTGATTAAGACAACTAATGGATTACTATCGTTGCTACTATACTACTCCGTAGGAGTTTTCTATCACTCGGCCGCCTACTAGAGTTGAAGCTACACGTACTCCCTCGAAGTCACTGTACGATAACTCACTAATGTTCCACAATTGTTGTCAAAGCATACGAAAAACCGCCGTGGCTCGGTTCAACAATTAGAGACATATCCTGCAAAGCATGTCAACGAGGATTCCTCTTCTTGGCGACTGAACACGAGTCCATTTCGGGTCCTATGTTTCTGACCGCCATACTTGTTTTTTAAGGGAGACTTGGGGCGGTATCTCAGCCAAGTCTATACGAAATATTTGGTAAAAGTTTTAAAACATTGGCCCAAGTTCAGGGGGCGGTGAACTCGCCCAGCCATGGCATTTCCCGATAGGGTAACCGTTGACCTACGATCTATTCATGGAATACGAGCCGCGGCAGATAAATCCCGGACCGGGCACCCCGCAATCCAGCGCATCACGAGATTCTAGGCATAGTCAAGCCTAAAGTTGCAGATCCGGCAACGTTACAGCTTAGCAATATGGTAGCAATAATGGTAGTACAACAAAGGCTTGCTGCTAGATTCAGCACAGAACTTATCAAGACAGTTCTCGAATGCTCAATTAGTTACATCACTTTCTTCTTCTCTCTCTCATGTCTAAAAATGAGACCTCGGATTGGGTCGTCGCTGCTCGGTATGTGGGATAAACCCCTGCATACGTATGACGTTGAAATTGGCCAACTATGTTGCATCGCCACCGCAGCGGCGATTTTGCCAACAAGCTTGTTCTTTTACGAGATGCAGCAGGGGTTTTGATTCGTTGCATCTCGTAAGGCGCTCGGGTGATCGCATCCGTCGAGGAGCTTTTCTGGCGCCCCTGAATAAGGCAAAGTCTATTGTGGTGGACTCTATACTCTTTTGACATGGGATTAGTTCGTATTGTTCATTCTCCACTCGAGCCTTCTTTCCTTCGAACTCAGAGTTCTATCTATATAAAGAGTGAAGAGTTTCTCCATCCATTTGCCCAGTCCTTCATCCATCTCACACTTCGCTCTACATCCATCAACTCGACTCAACTACTACTTCACAAAAGTCTCATACCAAACCACCAAAACCGCCACCATGCAGTTCACCAAGACTTTCATCGCCGCCCTCTTCGCAGCCTCCAACGTCGCTGCTGCTCCTACTCCTGCCGACAAGTCTATGATGGCCAATGTTCCCCAGTGGACAATTGAAAACCTCAAGCGCACGTGCGACACTGCCAACACTTCATGCACTTGGACCTTTGCTGTCGACACCCATCTCGCCGCTGCCACATCTTGCACATACGTTGTCAAGGCGGCCAAGGAGGCCTCTCAGGCCACCGGAGGCCCTGTCACTTGCGGACCTTACACGGTCACATCCAGCTGGAGCGGTCAATTTGGTCCTGGTAACGGTTTCACCACTCTCGCCGTTGTCGACAACTCGAAGAAGCTCATTGTCTGGCCCGCCTACACCGACGTCCAGGTCCAAGGTGGCAAGGTTGTCTCGCCCAACCAGAGCTACGCCCCTGCCAGCTTGCCATAGAGGATGAAAACCAGCTTTGGTATTCAGTTTTGAATTTATCAGCGATTTACAGCAATATGTTTGCAGCAATATAGACGGAGGAACAAATGATTCAGGAACGATGGCACATGACGCTTTGGAAGTAAGACATCTTAAAATATAATGTAATAAAATATAATACAATATTTTACTCTCAAATTTGAGCAGCGCTCCCCGTTTTGGTGACGTACATCCCATATAACTAAGTATACGCGTGTTTTCGGCCCTTTCTGGTGTATATTGCCTTTGACTTCTTTATTAGTATGTTATTGAGTGATTGGTCCGGCTCTTTATCTTCGGCGCGGAACCTTATCTTGAATCTTATTGTTTCTGGGCGATCTAGGCGATGTGGCTTTGTTGATCACCATTTGACCAAGCTAGATTAACTTTACTGGTTTAAGGCACCCAATCTAATCCGCTCATTGAACCAGAAAGTTAGGTACTTTATGGGACATAGCCCTTTACGGTGTTTTTGAACTACTATAGCGGCATTTACACATTAAATATCTATTGCACATTCTTCGACCCCCCAAAAAAAGGATACTGCCAGTATAGAATAAACGGTGGCGTGTAAAGTACAAGAAAACATTGTGTTTATGCGCCGGTCTGATACGATTTCATTACGGCCTGTATGCTTATATCATATTATTTCTGGCCATCTGTATTTACTAAGTTGCGTGGTCGCTTTTGTCAATAAAAGAGCTTATGAAGTATACTGTAGAACAGGGACACTTGATAAGCTTACGCTGCTGCCTTTGGGATTAACGTCCTAAAGAGTGTGTTTGACCTGTTTGTCCATGTAATTAGAGCAATGATGTATGTGTGTCAGTGTCAGTGACTTGATGTATGCGGAGAAAGAATGTGTGAGGCGTGACTCGAATGTATGATCGCATCTCGGGCTTAGATGGGAGATGATTGGGATGAGTCGTGCTGTATTGGCGGGGATGAGCGTTTTCTGCTATGTGCGAGTGGTTCTTTTTGCTAATTATGGTTCTTGTTGCTAATTATGATTCTTTTTGCTAATTCATATGCCTTCTAGAAAGCCATTAGTACTCGTAGACTTTCATGGAAAGTAATAATCGTGAATTCTCAACTAAATCCTGTGTCACATCTTTCAGGGTCCACAATGTCAATAACTAGGAGTATGTTCTTGACAGGGCTGGCTCTCCATCAATGGCCTTGAATGCTTTCTTTCCACCACGTTAAGTGCTGAGAGCTCATAAGAATAGTTTGACTTACTTATTGGATAAGGGTTTGTTGTTTAGATGCCTTTGGCTGTGGCGGATTTAGCTCTTGGGCGTATTAGCGAAGCTATTTATAGCGATCCAAGATAGAATCGCATGCTATGTTTACTAGTTTTAGTTGTTTTGTAAATGGTTTTGGGCTTCGTATTTATTTATCAGAATTTGTCTGAGTTATAGAGGATAAGCTACACATGAAGACTGGTAAAACGATCACATAGGTTCCACAAGGCATCGCCAGAATGAACCAAGACGATTTTACTTGAAGAAATGTTATCCAGTCCTCTAGGTTCATTATCTGACAACTTATCCGTAGCTTAACAAAGCAGCCAGCCCGTATATATCAATACTCAACTGTCAAGGATACGAAAATGGGAGAGGTAACATGTCATTATGCGTTACGAGGGCAAATTTTGCGTCGACGGTGGCCTGCCATTGGGTGGAGCTCGTTGAACTCAACTCTTCATACAACGTGGCGGATATGTCGTCGTCGATAGTAATCGTGGCAGAAGGCTCAAACAGTTGCCCGTTACCGTCGACGTCACAAATTTGGGATTGAATTGCTTGCCGTATTGAAGGCCATATAAGAGACCGGATTAAGTTGTCTTGACTCGATGCGATAGGGATTTATACTGTCAACTCATCCCTTGTGGCCGGGGTGAATCTTGGCTTTTTGGGTCTCAGGATGTTGAGCTTCTCATCGCTACAGCTTTTATTAAAGCACAATTAAGTGGATAATGTTGAATCCTGTCATTCGTAATTTAGTCCAAGTTGTCAATGCATTTGGAGAGTTACATTGCTCTCAGCAGCTTCAGACATGTTGCGATCGATATATCATAGTCTATGGGCTTGGCGATATAAAGAGGCATTTAATTGTCTTAACTATCTTAACTGTTAATATCATCAATTCGCTATTACTGTCAAATAAACTGTGAACATTCACTACAATGCCGCTACACTAGAGTTTACTGCACCTCTCTGGAACTTGAAAGAAATTGGTCGTTACGTTGCAGCAAGGCCAGGTGATGAGCAAAGAGGATATATCTTTTGAACGCGGCGGTTTCACTGAGGGAAAAGAATTACTTGAATAGGAAGTTCCATGTCATCATCATATATTCATATATACTTGCTATTTTATTCACGTTTAGACCATGCCATTATGTACATTTTGCTCATCGTCCACAAATTGCAGTAAACAAGTCAAAGGAAACTCGTACGAGTCGCAATTATATAGACTTGTTATAACCTCCAACCTTGGTAAGGACTGGCGGCCTATGACTTAAGCAAAGCCAGCGCTGACAACGAAGCTCACGTCGTCGTTGAACGAGGTAGGGCTGTCGAAAGCGTGCTCGCCACCGTTGGCTGCGATGTAGCCAAGAGCATCGTAGTGTCGCCACCAGCGTGCGGGATAGCTCCATGAGTGGAACGAGTTGCCCTGGCCATTGATGCCGGCTTGAGGGCAGAATGTGGCGTCCTCGCCGAAAATCTTACTACCGTCGTTGGAGTTGAGAACCAGAGCATAGTTGGAGTGACGGATATAGTTGCCGGGAGTGTCAACAGACTCAAACGAGAAACAGGCGCTGTTTGCAAGACCGGCGTGGACGATCCAGCTGGCCTGCTGCTTCAGAGCGGTGCTGTCAGACGAAGAGACAACTTGGGTGTTGACGGTTGTACCGGAGTGCGCAATATAACGCGTAGTACAGCAGGAAGTGGTAGCTCGCAGAGAAATGTGAGATCCAACGGTCAGACCTGGGCCGCTGACCATCAGACTGGGGTCATATGTGTACTTGGCGGCCACGATATCGGCTTGCACCGAGTTCTCAGTGGCATCAGACGGGTATCCTGTAGTCATTACACCTTCGTAGAAGGTACCAACGGCACCATCCGAGTTATCGCCTCCGGTGCCGAGGATAATAGCCCCTTCTTTGCTCATTGGTTGATATCCGTTGTTGGGGCGGACGCCGGAGTAGTAGGTGGACAGACCCCCGGAGGCGGAGTTTCCACCACGAATCGCCCACTGGTTCGGCTCGCCCTTGATAATTGCAGTAACAAAACGGGATGTAATAGTCGGGTTGGCAGGATTGTTAATTGGATCAAAGCCAGAGAAAAGGCCGTTCTCCAAATCGGCCATGATCCAGGGGCCGCTTCCTGAGCCCGTTCCGCGGCCCGAACCATCACCGGTACCAAAGTAAATGGCCTCCATGTGACCGTTGCCGGTATCCCGAGAGTTTGTCTCGGCATTGCCGTAATCAAAACAGCAGGCAGTGTTGTAGTGGGTGCCGTCAAAGACAGCGTACATGCCCTCGGGAGCATCGCCAGTTGCGGTGCCATTGGCGTCGTTGTTGCGGTAGCCCGTGAAGGGTGCAATGAAGGTGCCATAGACCTTCTGGCCGTTCAATCTGACAGGCGCGCCAATTGCACTGGCCAAGTTATCAAGACCGCCTGGGAGAGGGCCTTGTGCAGCGCCGCCGGGAGGAGCCTGGGTGATGTGGTTGCCATGGCCGGACTGGTCATAGATGATGGAGATCAGGCATGTCGTACCCTTGCAGAAGGTGTCCTGACCGGCGGCATTGGCAACGCCACCGGTAGATAGCGGCGCGATGTTGATCGTAGCGTTGTCAGAGCCCCGGCGAACCTGGTAGAGCGAACCGTTGTAAGATCCGTAGAGGGAGCGAGTTGTGCTGTGCGCGGCAACACATGGCGTGCCACCAGAGGCGTAGATGTCGCAAGGTCCAGCAGCAACAAGCTGAGAGCCCACAGCAACTAGGCCGAGAGTGAAAACGCCAACGCGTTCGCGGATCGGCTTGGAGAACATATCGATCTGTATAGATGGACAAGGATATGGATATGGCTGTGGTCTTGAATTGGTCGATGAGACTGATCTGCAACGAGCAAAAAGCGAGGGCGATCTGTGTGGTTTTTAAGCTGAACCACGTTGATCAGTCTCAGCCAGGTCCTATTACCATTGTGAGCAGATACTATCTGATTGTAGCTTGGAAGCAGGAACATTTTTTACCAAATAGGCAGGAGGTTTCTCTGTGAGGTATGGGTGAACACTCCAACTATTTGGAAATACTACCTTTCAACTGGCATCCTTGTCCTCTCTATCGACAACATCACCTTACAGTAGTCTTAAACCGTAGCTCGAAATGGCCGAAATAGTCCCGTTGGAGTGTTAACCTTGTGTCATACATACCGCTCTTCAATATCACAAGAAGGGCCGTCATGAGGCTGGATCTGGGGTATGGATCATACGGATAGAGTGAGACATACACTTTCTCGACTATTAGCGTCTGCGTAGCTTGGTTCTAGATGAATACACTAATGCAGAACAGGAGAAAACAAGGACAAAACAGCCCATCCAACGACGGGCTTGACTTCTACCATTTGAGTATCCCGGTTGGTGACAAGGACAGCATTTGTTTCTGAAGGCGCAGTACCTAGTATTCGTATTCCCCGGAGCATTATGTACTTGCCAAATCGGGAGTAAATCCTCCTTATCATTTGTGATATCCTGGCTTTGTGGCAACAATTGCACATAAACTTACACCCAACTGCCGGCGGCAAGAGGAGACAGTAGTTGTCTCACCAAATCGCGCTACGAGCTAACAAGATCCTACCATCTCACGCTAGGAACAAAATACCACCATACAGGCTGCTAAGCTGCTAAGCTAGCCGACTCCCCTGCTTGATTCAATCCATGCGGGAATATTCCTTAAGCGTGCCAATAGATGTAGACAA